GGTGTCTTACTTCACGGGGCGAAGGCTGGGTTCAAAAGCAAGTCGGCTATGGTGGGCACATGCCGTTCGGGCTCAGGTGTGTCCTTCACTGCGCTACCTATGAGACATATGCTGCATCGTGAAGGACACGCCGGATAGACCAAGTCCGAAATGACCTCTGCATGATGCTGTCGTAAAGTTCTCATCCATGAAGACGTCTCAGAAAACATCTCCGGGCCCCTAAGCCCAAAAACCCAAAAACCAAAAAAACCCTAGAACCCTAGAACCCTAGAACCCTGAACCCCGAGACGACCTCTGAGCACACGAGCTTTTACATGTGGCCTAGCGGCCCTCAGGGCCGGACCCTAAAGTGCCGAAACCCTGAATCGCAGCTCCCTAAACCCTTAACCCGCAGCTCCCTAGAGCCCTTAAACCGCGCCTCCCCAAACCATAAAAACCTTAAACCCTAAACCCTAAACCCTAAACCCTAAACCCCACATCGCCTAGACCCTAAACCCCAGACCTCGAAACACCTAAACTCCGCCAGCGGGGCAGAGGTTCTGTGGGGCGTTCTTAAGGGAGGGGGGCTCAAGGGGGGTATGTAAAGCAAGGTCCCCCCCAAATGCTCCCCTCTGCTCCCTAGGCCCTAAGACTCCCTAAGCTTCCCTAAGTTTCCCTAGGTACCTACCCCCATTGGACCCCCCTCCCTTAAGAACCCAATAAGGTTCCGTGGCGTTCCTGCCCGATCTGGGCTGCAATGAGACCATGGTCCAGATCGGCAACTCGCCACGACAGACGGGCTAGGGGTTTAGGGGTTTCGGGGTTCAGGGTTCTAGGGTTCTAGGGTTTTTGGGTTTTTGGGTTTTTGGGTTTTTGGGTTTTTGGGTTTTTGGGTTTTTGGGTTTTTGGGTTTTTGGGCTTAGGGGCCCGGAGCTCTAAACCGTAAACCCTGCGCTACACAGCTACAAGGGTTTCGGGGTTTTCGGAGTGGCTGTGGCAGGCCTTAGGGATTTTGGGTCCCAGCTTGTGCTGGCTCTGTAGCCTGGAGTGTTAGAGACCTTTGCTTTTGTCGCGTTCAGGGTTTAGGGTCTAGGGTTTAGGGTGGGGTTTAGGTGCCAACTCCGGGCGAAGTGACAAGCCTGTTGCAATAAGCGCAGCATGAAACCCGGCAACCCCAAACCCCTTTCCATCCAAAGTCCCTGAACCTGGAACCCAAGTTGAAGACCTAAGCCCTGGCAAACACAAATCCTAAACCCGAAACCCTAAACCCCCAACCCTCAACCCTAAACCCTAAACCCAACCCTAAACCCTAAAACCCCCAAACCCCCCTAAACCCTAAACCCCCCTAAATCCTAAACCCTAAACCCTCAACCCTCAACCCTAAACCCTAAGCCTAAACCCTAAACCCTAAAACCCCCTAAACCCTAAACCCTAAACCCTAAACCCTAAACCCTAAACCCTAAACCCTAAACCCTAAACCCTAAACCCTAGGCGCCTGCCTCTTCATCCTCGGGAGCTTTATCTTCTGCCTCGCCTCCATGACCAACATCTACCGCACGAGCCACGTGCTCTCGAACCCAGCAGCTGGGCGTGGGGCTTTTGGGTGTCTTTTTGTAGGTTCCAGAGTTTTGTTGGGGGGTTTTGAGGGTGTTTTGAATGGGTGGTCTGGGGTGTTTCAGGGTGTTTTGGGGTGGTTTTAGGGTGTGTTTCGGGTGTTTGGGGTGTTGTGGGGTGTTTTGGGGTGTTTTGGGGTGTTTTTGTGTATATGACGCTTGGGGTTTTAAAGGGCTTAGATTGCGTTCTGTTTCTAGGGATCCTTCGATGAGGATTGTTTATAGGGATTTTGGCCCAGACACGTCGCAGAGTTTTGCTGGGTTTGAGGGGCTTCAGCGGAGCGGATTTTAGGAGTTAAAGGGGTTGAGGGTTGCCCTAAAATTTCGCTCTCAGGGTCTTCGGGTTAAGGATTGAGGAGTTCAAGGCGCGTTTTGGGTGAAGGGTTGGGGCGTTTAGGTCACCGGAGCTCGGGGCTTGTAGGCTTTGGGGTTTAGGGTTTAGGGTTTAGGGTTTCGGGTCTAGGGTTGAGGCCGACAGGGTGTAAGGAGGGGGTTGAGGGGTTTGGATACAGGGTTCGGCAATTCAGTTTTAGATTTGAGGCTCCAGGCTTTAGGGCTAAATTGCTGAGGAGTTGAGGGCTTGGGGTGAACAGATCTTGTTCCCTCATGGTACCAGCCCCCCCTCTATGACCCCCGAGAACTTCCGTAAGCTTCCATAAACGGTACCGAGGAAAGCGTTGAGCGTAGCTGGGGTTCTTGACCCCTACCCGCTCGAGAGTGAGAGTCGACAGCCACAAGCCCGAAACTCGCAACGGCCCTAACCTTATAAACGAGGAGAACCAGCTTCTCCGTCCATCCTCGGGATCACCCCTGGCCGCGGAAAAGCTGCCGGGCGCGGACGCATAAGTGAGCGACACACTGGGCAAAAACTCTGAAGCCTCCGTACCCTAAAACCCTAAACCCTAAACCGCACTACGTACCACACTACGTACCCTGCCCCAAACCTTGGGTTTTCTTGGCCGTTCGCGGGATGGAGCGGTTGAGGCCGTTTCCAGAACACTTAGCGCTAGCTGCTTCATCTTTCCTTTCCCGGGTCTGGCTCCCTTGTTCCCATTTTCCAGGCTTGAGGCCCTAGACCTGAAATCCTTAACCCTAAAACCTAAAACCTATAAACCCTAAGCCCTATAAGCCCTAAACCCTATAAGCCCTAAACCCTAAACCCTAAACCCTATAAGCCCTAAACCTGAACCTGCTTTAAGCCAGGCTTTACACCTCGAGTTGGAGTCGTGTTTTGGCGGTGGAGACTGGGGTTTAGGGTTTAGGGCTTAGGGTTTAGGGTTTAGGGTTTAGGGTTTAGGGTTAGGTGTCTTAAATAAAGGCTCGGGGAAGTTAGTCAGCATACGGGTCAGTGCTTGCGCAGGATAGCCCCAAGATTCAGGTTACTTAGATAATCCCTACTTGTAGCCTACTGTACTTCTTTTAACAGTTCACTGAGCAGCCTCCACCCTAAACCCTAAACCATAAACCCTAAACCCTAAACCCTAAACCCTAAACCCTAAACCCTAAACCCCTAAACCCTTCCCGGAGTCTCTACGTAGCTTAGAGCTTTGCCCAGCTCATCAATTGGGGGGCTCGCTGCCCTGTAGCTCGCCCTGGTCGCTGCGGTGCGTTCCGCACGCGCGATGGCACACGTCGGGAGCAAAAAAAGCAGTTCTCCCCCAAAGTCCGTAAAGAACCCTAAACCCTGAACCCTAAACCCTAAGCCCTAAACCCTAAACCCTAAGCCCTGAACCCTAAACCCTAAACCGTAAAGAATCTACGGCATCTCCGCACATCCTAAAGCCCTCTAAAGCCGGAGGGAAAATCAGGACGCCTCTCTTTGAACCCTACCTTCAAGACCAAATGAACCCTAAAGTTGGGGTCATATTCCCTTACTACTATTTGTCCCATTGAGGTATGTGAACCATAAACCTTTTTAGGGTTTAGGGTTTAGGGTTTAGGGTTTAGGGTTTAGGGTTTAGGGTTTAGGGTCTAGGGTTTAGGGTTTAGGGTTAGGTCCCCAAGGTATAGACCAGTGGAGCAGACCTCTCGAGCATAAGGTCCGCTTCCCAGCGTTAGCAACATCATCGGGTTCTTAAGGGAGGCGCACTGTAACCAAAGGTTCCCTCATATCCCGAAGCTTCACTAACTTTCCTAGGTACCTACCCCCTTTGAACCCCCAAACCCCAAACCCTAAAGCCTAAACCATAAATCCTAAACCCTACACCCTCCCTCAAGAGCCCTATAACAACTGGTGGTCTCATGCTTCAAGTGCTAGCTAGGGTACTCGTCCGGGCGCCAGCGCCAGACATGAACGTAGCCCTTGAGACCCTAAACCCCAGAACATGAGCGTAGCCCTTGAGACCCTAAACCCTAAACTCTAACACCTCAACCCTAAACCCTAAACCCTAAACCCTAAACCCTAAACACAGCCTTGTATGCTCTACTGTCAAAATTGCACCCTGCCCTACTGTCAAAATTGCACCCCGACCAGGATGGGCCGACTATACCCATAACCTGTTAAGAAGGCAGGATTTGTGTTGACTATGGGGATTACAAGGCCAGACTATCTAAAGAAATTATGCCAGGACAGACTCCGCACAGCGAGAGACCGTGGGACACGATTGATCCAATGGTCCAAGAGCACCCCTAAACCCTAAACCCTAAACCCTAAACCCCCCGACAACATGTGGAAGATGCCGGATTGGATGATTCAATGCATTCACAGCCGGGCAATCTCGACCAACTGTAACTTGCTGGTTCTGAGTCGGGAGTGAGGGACTAATACGGTACCATATCTCCCCCTGGCTGTACCCTTTGAAGGCTTATGGGGGGGTTGCCTAATTCAGTCAGGAAGCCTGCAAGCGAAGCCAGTTTCGCAATTCGCGAGGCAAGGCGTCCAAAAGCGACGACAGTTTCGCATCTCGCGAGCTCAGGCGGGCAGAAGCGATGACTGCGTTGGGGACCGCGCGCTCGCCGCCACGATTTCGTGATCCCAGAAGTCGATAGTCGACGGCAGCTTCGGCCATCGCGTTTCGCAAGCCCAGATCTCGAGTGATGACAGAGCGCGGCCACACCCGTGCAGTAACGGGAGCCAGGCTTTCGTCCGAAGTGTGAGCAGTTCTGGAGGTCTGCCACGTGTCGTAGCCGATGTAGCCCCACTAACTCTTTGCATCCGAACCCCCTTAGTGCTGACGCACTGTTGAGAGCTCTTCCTTATACATGCACACACACATGCAGGTTTACATGTATTTCTGTATAACTATACTTATTGATTATGTGTATGTAGGATGTATATACGTATTACATCTTTTGTTCTTCATTGATGTCTGCTCTGTCTATTCATGTATACATAGTGAGAGGGAGCCTTGTTCCTAACCTGAAGCTTGGAGCTCCCCCTCCAACGAAGCACATGACAGCGCGAACCAGGAGCGATGTTTCCACCAGGGCCGCCATCTTCCCGTGACCCGGTTGCTGCTACGGGAACGTAGGGTTTAGGGTTTAGGGTTTCGGGTTTAGGGTTTAGGGTTTAGGGTTTAGGGTTTAGGGTGGGGGGTATAGTATCCTTTCCTGGCAGTTGTCCGCAGTCCAGTTGCAAAAAGGAACTCATAGATGAGTGGGTTTGTTTGTCGCAGTCATGGCCATCAAGAGTATTGCTTGCTGCGGTGATTCTGGTTTTTCTTGCTGTGAGAACTCCATTGGGTTCTTCAGGGAGGGGTGTTCCAGGGGGGATAGGTATCCCGAGGTTCCTTATTGCTCCCCGCTACAGGCTCCCTAAGCCTCCTAAGGCTTTCTAGGGACCTACCCCCCCATGAACCCCCTCCGGTAAGAACCCTATAAGAACTCATCCCGAGCTCCCTGAGCACCCTAAACCCTAAACCCTAAACCCTAAACCCTAAACCCCAGCCGCTCAGGTCGGCTACCTCCTCCCGCTGGTCAAGACGACGCTCCGAATGCACTTCAGACGCGGGCGCTGTTCGTTGTTTTCGGGTGCTTGACGGCCTTGTCGTACTTGAAGGTTCATGGTACTTACTTACCAATTATAACTGGGCTTATAACCATACTTATAATACCCCTAAAGGGCCTTATAGGGCTTATCCCACTTATAAGTAGAGTTATAAGCCCAGTTAAAATTGGTTAGTAAGTACCATGAACCTTCAAGTAGTTACAAGGCCCATAAAAGCCGCGGCATTTTCTGCCTGATTCCAGAGGTCTAAACCCAAACCCTGATTTTTTCCCCCTCTCCTTGGGTTACATACCCCCCCCTTGAACCCCCCCCCCCCTTAAGCACCCCCCAAAAAAAAACCGAGACTTAGACACTAAAGGCACTAAAGTTTCGCATCCTCCTCAAGGGTCGAAGCCTGACTTGGCTTTGGGACATTTTCAGAAGCCTTTTTCAGAGGGTTTAGGGTTTTTCGGTTTAGGGTTTAGGGTATTTAGGGTTTAGGGTATTTAGGGTTTAGGGTTTTTCGGTTTAGGGTTTAGGGTGTTTTTTGGTTCAGGTTTCCGGGAGACCCCATACCCTTAGCCCTAAACCCCAAATGGTCTGTCGCAGGTGGCCAACAAACAAAAGACACATGGGTCAATTAGGGTTGAGGGTTTCGGGTTTCGGCTTCAGACTAGTGCTGCATTTAGGGTAAACCCTAAACCCTAAACCCTAAGTCCTAAGCCCTAAGCCCTAAGCCCTAAGCCCTAAACCTAGACCCACTTTGGACACTTAGGGGAGCCGTAGGGTGCACTCAGGGTAGATGGTCCCTTAATCCGGTCCCTTACCTTCTTTAAAGGGCCCCTATGCAGGGGGGACCCCTGCAAGAGGGGCAAGTAGGGACCTTCTCCTAAATAGCCCTAAACCCTAAACCCTAAACCCTAGAGCCCTTCGAGGGGTTTTGAAGAGCCAGTATGGCAAGGCTTTCGGGATGGATCAGGGCTAGGGCCTGATACCCCCAGCCCCTAAACTGCTAAGCTCTAAACCCTAAACTCCAAAACTCTAAAACCCCAAGCCCTCATCCCTGAAGCCCTCGACCCCTTGATCCTGTTTAACTCTCAAGCCCAAAGCCCGTAAACCTCCCACACCCTCTGAACCCTTGAACCCCTCAACCCTTGAACCCCGAAACCCTAAACCCTAAACCCCGGCAACTTTTAGCTTGAAGCGCCTCTCTTGGCCCAGCTTGGCGCGAGAACTCCGTCCAGCGCCAGCCGGCTTCGCGCGGGCGTTGGAGGCGTAGGGTTTAGGGTTTCGGGTTTTGGGTTCTTAAGGTAGGGTTTGGGTGGGCCGACGGCCATTTTTCAGAGGGTTTTAATGGGCCATCTTACCATACTGGGGTTGCAGCTTGGTGGGGGCGCTCTTAGCCAAATTTGTCCGTTTTGTGTTCTGGGTTCCCTTATGAACCCTAAACCCTAAACCCTAAATGGGGTACCCTTACTAGAAAGTGAGTAGGCGACCAAGCAGCGGTACCACACTAAGGCGTGTAGAGTAAAGTTGAGATAGCAAGTGCGCCCTCCTTCTTGCCACTTTTGGGCATTTCCCCAAGTAGGGGTCCCCCCAATTATGCCCCCCGTAATTCACTTAATGCACCCCAAAAGAATGCACTTCTTGTTATACAACCTCCCCCGCCCCCCCTCCCTCCTCGCACAAGAAAAGGCGCACCTCGGAAAGTTCCCAGCCGCTACCAGGTACCCCGAGCCCTGAACCCGAAACTTTAGGAGCCCCACCCACCGTTTTCTTGGCAAGGGAGACATAAGGGGGGGGTTAGGGTTTTGGGGTTTGGGGTCAAGGGTTTAGGATGTTGTCTGTGGGTTTAGGGTTTACAGGCAGTTGCCATTTAGCCGATGCACAAACGCCCGTAGGTGATCTTAAGTGTAACTGAGCTTGACGGCCATTGGAATCAAGGGACTACTTGGGATCCTTGTGAGGGACCTTACCACTTCTTTGGGGGGTTACTTACGCGCTACTTAGGTATATAGGGACTGCATAAGGCATACCGTAAGCGTTATATAGGGGTTATATAGGGGAATATGATTAAGGGTCCCTTCTAGGGGGTCCCTCGTTATCCTGAACCCCTTACTTAATGGGCGTATACAGGAGAATAAGATTAAGGGTCCCTTCTAAAAGGTCCCTCCTTATACCCTAAACCCTCAACCCTAAACCCTAAACCCTCCTTATGCCCGTTAATGCTTACTGGGATGAAGGTCTCTCTTCCAAGCATCGCAGGGGAGCTGACCCCTGAGCAGCTGGAAGCTGTCTTGCAGTCGCTGGCGTTCATTCCGGGGGTTCGACCCTTGGCAGAGACCGGCGGTTTGGGTGTAGGGTTTGGGGTTTAGGGTTTAGGGGTTAGGGGTTTGGGGTTTAGCAACAAGGGTTTAGGGTTATAAGCTTTGGGGTTCCGAGGTCGAGGGGTCCAGACTCTTCGTTTTTTTTCTGTATGGGCTTGGGGTTGCGACTTGAAAAATATGGATTCAGGGGCACAATGTGTTATCAAGTTGGACCTCTGTGGATCCTAGGGGCCCGAACCCTCCTTGCACGTGTCTAAGGGTAGTTACAATGGTCCCTTACCTCCCTCAAAGGGTTCTTTTAAGGGCTCATGCCAAGCGACCATGTAACTACCCTAAACTTATGCAGCAGCGCATCTTCTTCTTTAACTAAGCAGGCCCTTAGGATCGTGTATGTTTTCCCTTAATTGGTTTAAGAGGGCCAAGGGACTAAAGGAGGGACCCTTTTAAGTGGCCTTAGGGGTTATTTGGGCAGTTTTTGGTGCCCCTTATACCCCTTTAAGAGGGTCATAACCCTAAACCCTAAACCCTAAACCCTACACCCTAAACCCTAAACCCTATTTTTTTCGCAGGGTTTTAAAGGGCCATCCTCGCATGGAATCTATCTTTCTTTCACCGTTCGGCCAAGCCCGCGGTTCATGCCCTGGGCTTCATAGCTTGGTAGCGCATAGGGTTTAGGGTAGGGTTTAGGGTTTAGGGTTTAGGGTTTAGGGTTTAGGGTTGAGGGTTGAGGGTTGAGGGTTTAGGGTTGAGGGTTTAGGGTTTAGGGTTTAGGGTTTTCCCTCAATGCCCCCATACCTCTAACCACAACGCAAAGTTAAAGAGCCCAATGCCCCGAAATGAAGGAAGATCCTTAGACCAAAATGGGGACCCGAATATGATTTAAGGTATATTCCTTGGTTAAGGGGCATTGGGCTCCTTGGGAACATGCTACCTGGAGTAAGGATCTCAGTGATTTGTGAGAAGAAGAAGAAAAAGAAGAATAATCATAAGAATAATAATAAGAAAAAACAACAAGAAGAAGCAACAGAAGAAGAAGGATAAGAAGAAGAATAAGAAGAAGAAGAAGAAGAACAATAATAATAATAATAATAAGAAGAAGAATAAGAATAACAAGAATAACAAGAATAACAAGAATAACAAGAATAACAAGAATAACAAGAATAACAAGAATAACAAGAATAACAAGAAGAAGAAGAACAATAAGAAGAAGAAGAAGAAGAAGCCCCTGGACCTGCTCAAGCCCCTGTGTCCCAGGCCGACCTTGAACCCTAACCCACAAAATTTAGGGTTCAGGGCTTATAGGGTCTAGGGTTTAGGGTTTTAGGGTTTGGGGTATAGGGTTTAGGGTTTCGGGCCCTGAACTGACCAGGCTCCCCTGGCTTGGGACGACTCTTCGACGCGTCGCTCGCCAAGCTCCAAGTGCTGCGACCAGCTGCAGTGGCTCCTGGGCGGCCCTGGCGTTTACAAACGCGGCCTAAGCCCTAAACCCTAAACCCGAACCCCGAACCCTAAACCCTAAACCCAAACCCTAAAGGCCCTACTCCCCAAACCCTGGGTTGCCAGGCACCTAAGTGGCCTGGGAAGCACGACTGTGGGGCGCTTGTGGGGCTTGTGGTACCCTTTTCCTTTTTTTTGTTCTCTAAACCCTAAACCCTAAACCCTAAACCAAAAAACGGGTGCGCTTAGAATAATATGGTTACTGGGCTGCCATGGTGCTTAACTGCCCCCAAAAACACCTTACTCCCCAGAAGCCCAGGTTTGGGACCAAGGCCTCCTGCTACAATTACAAGTTGAACGGATTGTGTTTTTTACTCGTTACCCTACACCCTAAACCCTAAACCCTAACCCTAGACCCTAAACCCTAAACCCTAAACCCTAAACCGTGGCTCTGGGTTGCGGTCAATCTTCACCTCCGTGACTTGTATCGTGCGGGGAGGGGGAGATTGCCAATGGCATGCCGCATGTTTCGAGGTATTGACCAGCAGAGTATCTCCACGCAGCTTCTGCTGCTCTCAAAGTCAGCGCAGTAGATGTAGAGACTTTGCGAGCCAGGCGCCAGTGATTATTTTGCACGATCCGAGACTTCAAACCCAAAGGCCCAAGGCGCGGCGGGGTTGCCTAAAGTTTTCCTTATGTCGAGTACAACAGAATCTTGGGAACTGGCTGTCCGTGAAGCATGCCCATGGCGCAGCCGCTGCGGTCCGGGTCACTGCCACTGCGGTTCGGGCCCCTGCCGCTGCCGGAGATACCGCTGCGGTCCGGGTCAATGCCGCTGCGGTCCGACTCACGCTTTGGCACAGCAGAGGCTGTTGCTTTGCACCAGCACGTACCTCCCGACTCTTGGCGCGTGGACAAGACTTCGAGTTTCTATTCCCTGGAGTCAGACTCTTCTGAACATGTTCCGAACCTAAACCCTAAACCCTAAACCCTAGGCCAACAATGATTCTCGCCGCTAGTGTGCTTCCATGCGAGAGGTCTCCGGAGTTTTGCATGATGTGACACAGGGTTGATGTTACTGGTGAGTGTGTATAAGGATATTGGTGAGTGTATATTGGGTGTCCTTTTGAGGGTACAAGAAATATAAACCCTACTTCATGTGGGCCCGAATCCCTGTATAAAGCAAATAGTTGAACTTTAAACTTTTTGGGATTTCCTTATTTAGCAGGCATATTTATAGTTATTGGAGAAGTAAGTCAGCACATGAAGAGTGCAAGGATCGCTGGTGTGTCACCCAGGCAGACCTGAACCTCCTGCAGCAGGAGAGTTTTCGCATAGGGTTTGGGGTTTAGGGTTTAGGGTTTAGGGTCCCCCTTCATTGTGCAATTTTGTTGTTCTCAGGCTAGTTGCATGGGCCCTTCCCCCTTTGAGGGCATACTGCGGGATGAAACTACCCTTAGGTGTTGTGCATGTACAACAGAAGCCCAAGGCACCAGACCCCGCGGGAGCATCCGCAAGGCTGTCTTGATTGTTGTTCTACAAGGTGAGTATCTTAGTTGCAGAGTAGGTAGCCTTTAACTTGTTTGGGGTAATTGAATAGCCTTTATCATCCCAAAGGTTAACCTTTAATTTCCCCTAGGAACTGGACAACTAAGGTATAAAGGCTCTGAGGTAAACATGCTATGGTTGTGATGGTTCTGAGGGAGTACATGGGGGGGCTTGTTTCTTCCCAAACAGAGCTTAGGCTTCAGGGCTCTAAACCCTAAACCCTAAACCCGGAGCGGCTAAGCCGAAAGACACTACAGAACAACAAACATACCCTAAGGGTTCATGTACCCATGTAGTGTATACTTGGGCCTTATGTCTACGAAGCTACTATAGAGGAACCCTTTTAAGGCCCAAATGTATATCATATAAGCGACATGGGCCCTTCAAAATAAGGGAAAGCAACGGGGGTCAGTTGTTGTTTGCCCCAGGGTCTAGGGCTAAAGGTGTTGGGCGTGCTAGACTCCTTCGGATAAAGCCGTTAGGGTTTAGGGTTTAGGGTCTAGGGTGTAGGCACCAGAGGCCGAAATTTCGAGCCTCTGGTTTCACGCCGCCATGGCCCAACGAATTCCAAAACATGGGTTGCGCGTGAAGTGATGCCGTAGGCACGATGCAAGAGAGACCGCCTGAACCCTGAACATAGAATCCCAACTGGAGAGGGTATCCCTAAACCCTAAACCCTAAACACTAAACCCTAAACCCTAAACCCTAAACCCTAAACCCTAAACCCTAAACCCTCTCGGAGCAAGGACCCATGACAAGCGCTCCGCGAACTCTACGATTTTTGCTTGAGAATCCACCCCCCTATGTTGCCATTATAAGGAAAGCACATGTTTCTTTCAAGGGTGGATTCTTGAACAACTAGTAGGAGTCGCAAGCTTAGGGTTTCGGGTTGTAGTGTTTTAGGGTTTAGGGTTTAGGGTTTAGGGTGTCGACGGCACGGACCTGAAGCCTGTGATAAGGAGGGCGTCGAGGGTTCAAGGGCATGGTGTTGATTGCAGACCAGTACCGTGCCTCAAGAAAAGTCGAGAGATGTTCGCGGGCCGCTCTCTTGCTCGCCCGGTCGCTTGCTCGCTTGCTCGCTCTCGCACTCGCCCCTCTCTCTCTCTCTCACTCTCTCTCTCACTCTCACTCTCACTCTCACTCTCTCTCTCTCTCTCTCTCATTCATGCCCCCATGAAGGAGTTGCGGGATGCCATCAGGTGCGGGACAATCGTGCCGCCGGCGGACGGCACAGACGACTTCTTGTGCTCTGCCGCGGACTGCGGGCAGATTGGGCCAAGCATCTACACCGTGAACACGCAGCACATCATGCCTGTCACAAAGGAGGCTGGCAAGGTGAGCTGGGCACTGATGCGACACCCGGAGGGCTTGGACTGTGACCTCTTCATCAGCCATGCCTCTTTGTCATAGTTGGGTAAACATTTTTTGCATTTTAAGTGTACTTAAACACCCTAAACCCTGAACCCTATATAAACCCTAAACCCTAAACCCAAGAAGGAATACAAATTATTTAAGTTCTTAAAGCCAACCATGACCTAGGCCTGGCAGGAAGGCGTCTTTGAGTTTCTGTCCAAAGTGCTACACTCCTGGCCAACGCCGGCCCGACTCTGCGGCCCTACTTGGAATGCATGTTTATAATCATGTTTAAAGTTCTATGCGCCCGGAGCTGATGTATGGATGTATGTATGTATAGATAGTTACTTTTTACCTCTCTCTGTCTTTTTCTCCCTAGACCTAGCCCATGGAAATCTGAAGTTTCCTTGGCGCTCCCCTCCCCTCGCCCCCCCCCCCCCCCCCCCCCCCCCCCCCCCCCCCCCTCCAAACTTCCCCCCCTAAATCCAGGACATGCCTGGTGCTGCATGCTGGCCAACCCGCAAAATTTGGACATCGGAACTTTCCTGCTGTCGCCAAGAAGCTCGCCCTTCGCGCGGGCACTGAGAGCGTCCACCTACGTCCTTGTGGTGCCGAACCGGCGCAGCAGCATTTATACCAGGCCACCTGTTCAGGAGTTTAGCTCAGAAGGTACAACACCAAAAAAACCTTGAAACCCTGAACCGGGACCGAACGTTGGGCAGAGTAGGCCCCCGAAACCCAAAACCCAAAACCCTAGGCCCTAATCCCTGCTTTTTGTTCGGGTTTAGCTCCCTTGTACGCACCCCTTTAAACCAAAAAAAGGGCACCCTTTTCCATTTCTATTTTTCTTGGGTCTAGAACACTGACCCAAACCAACCTCCCCCCCTAAACCCTAAACCCCGAAAGTCGCAGGCTGTGGTGCGCGTACGAAGCCTTCGAAGCTCACGAAGAGGGCAAAGACATTTTGATTGCGTCAGCGTCCAACGCTGAGAAGATTCATGAGGCTTTGGCGTGGACGGTGAGCGCAGGAGGGTTTAGGGTTTAGGGTTTAGGGTTTAGGGTTTAGGGTTTAGGGTTTAGGGTTTAGGGTTTAGGGTTTAGGGTTTAGGGTGTGACAGCAGGACGGGGTGGCCAGCGCGCTAGCAAATAGTAAATACTCGGGACTACCTCAAGAACCCCAAACCCACGTTTTTGGTAGGCTATTCCGGTTTTCTATAAAAGCCCCTCATAGATTCTTAGCTAACCTACGATAAAAAGTAGTCCTCATAAGGTATACCCGAAACCAATGGCCAGCCCCGGTTTTTGCTTTTTGTTTTTGTTTGGGTTTAGGGTTTACGGCTTGGGGTTCAGGGTTGTGGGGGGGGGGGGGGGTGGGTTGGGATGGACAGCAAATATCTTGTAGAGGCTGTGTCTTGGGATGTTCAGTATAAAGGGGAACATAACAGCCCTGAACCCTAAACCTGAAACGCAGATCCCAAAACCTTGGACAGTCATCGACTTCTCAACCTTAAGAGTCCTAACCCTAAACCCTAAACCCTAAAACCCTAAAAGGATTTCTTGGCCTACTTCTCGGGATCTCGCTGAAGCGCTGGCTTCATCACAGGCAGCTCACGGGCTCTTTTCCAGGGTTCAGGGTGTAGGGTTTGGGGTTTAGGGGTGCCCCCTCAAAATCGCAATCTACCCAAACACGGAGATCTCCTCTTTTTTTGTGTAAGGTATGCTTCACCCCTAAACCCTAAACCCTAAACCCTAGCTCAAACTTCAAAGGGTACTGAGCTCTGTGCGGTTGCATAGAGCCCCCCAATCCCTAAAGGACCTTAAGTCAACGCACAGAAGTTCTTGAGGTTTCAGGGCTTAGGGTTTAGGGTTTAGGGTTTTGGGAAAAGGCCTACCGGAAGCTGCCCCAGGGGCACTTCAAAGCTTGCGGCTTCCTTTTGAGTGGGGGTTTAGGGTTTCAACCCGTTTCTCGCCGTGTGGACATGTCTTAGACTTCAAACCGCGAAGAAACCATAGACAACCTTTGGCCCTAAACCCGAAACCCCAACCACCCCCGCCCCCCCCCCCCCCCCCCCCCCCCCACCACCCCAACCCCCAACCCCCTCAACTTTGAAACCTCATGAGGGCAGTTATCTAAAGTAGGGTCTCTTTTTTTTTAAATTTAATTTTTGGGTGGGGGGAGGGGGTGGTACTACGTGGGGACCCTTAGAAAGGGAACCTTTTTGTCATGTAGAGAACTACCCACGAACTCTTTCCTGGTCTCTGGAACCCTTCCAAGATAGGTTCTAGGGTTCTTCAGTGAGGCGGGGGGTAGGTACCTCGGGAACCTTAGGGAAGCTTTGGGAGCCTTACTAGGGAGCATTAGGCAACCTTGGGTGATGAACCCCCTTTGAACCCCCTAAACCCTAAACCCTAAACCCCCAGGGTTAGAGCTGCGACAGAGGATGGTCGCCATTGCATCGCTGTGCATCGTGGTGGCAGCTGCCTCTGCGAGCTCGCTTCTGCAAGACAGGCCCCTCTGAACATGGGGTAAGGTTTAGGGTTTAGGGTTTAGGTTTAGGGTTTAGGGTTTAGGGTTTAGTGACATTGGGGGGGGGGGGGGCGGGGGGTGTGGGGCATTTTGGGGTATCCGAGGTATTCTGAGCCCTACAGTAAACCCCTAATTCCCACATCCAGGAGGAACGAGTAGGGGGTCCCTTAGGGCCTCCCTTCTGAGCTCTTCGGGTTCATAGGGTTCGGCTTGGGCTGAGCAAAAAGGCTTTACAGGGACACTCCGCCACTGTTTTAAGCAGAGGCACCGCCGGATGGCCTTGAATCGGCTTGGGGCACTGACAAGCAGCATCTTGATTATATGCTGGCGGACCATCCGTGGACACACCGACCTGCCGGGACTAGCCTCGGTCGAGCCGGCCCTCCGCCAGCACATCGTGTTTCTGGCGGGCGCGAGCTTCTTCTGCCTCATGGAGGTTGACCGCATCAAGGGCGAGTCCAGAATGCAGGAGGCCGTACATCTCCGGCGCGGCTTCGTCGGCTCCATTGCTCAAGCAACCTGCTCGCGAGCAGAGGATGCAGAGAGGATCCGCGCCGTGATCGGAAATCGGACAGCCGCTGTCGACTATGCCATCCATGTCCTGCTGACTGCTGGCATGTCAACCCCGACATTAAGAGACATGGCCCGTGCGGGTGTTTGCATCGAAGAGGCCGGCGTGGCTGAGTTCGCGCTGCCGTTTCTGTTTCTTGTGGCTTTCCACGCTCTCTCCATCTTGCAGCTAGCTATCGACATTATCTGCCTGCACTCCGTGTGGCAATACTGGCTGTGGCCGGGCATACCCGTTCTCTTGAGAACTGTTGTCATCATCATGCTTTGGCGCAGCCCCTTTGACGAGAAGTGCTTCATATGCAACCTAGGGATACTTGGAAATAGTTTTTATGTTTTGGGCACTTTATAATTCCTAAGAAACAACAAAAATTAAAATTGTGGCTAGGGTTCCAAGTTCAGTTCAGCCTAAACCGTAAACCCTAAACCCTAGGCAAGATGATTGCCAAAGTTGTGTCCGGTTATCTCATCGTGGTCTGTCCCTTGCTCGTCTTCTGGGAGTGGCGTCTTGTGGACGTTCCCGAGAAGACCACCTACACGTGGTTTCCTGGCGGTTTAGCCAAGACTCTTCCGTTATTCCCTAAACCCTAAACCCTAAACCCTAACCCCTAAACCCTCAACCCTCAACCCTAAACCCTAAACCCTAAACCCTAAATACTAGGATCCCCTTCAATTAAGGGGCCTTGGGGTGTCTGGGTTGCTATAAAGCAGTACTAGGGTTGAACAAAGTGGATAGCACCTCCTCCCCTCTCTTTAGGGTTTAGCGCGGCCATGTATTATAGGGTTCTTAAGGGAGGGGGGTTCAAGGGAAGCCCCCTAACCCTAAACCCTAAACCCTAAGGTTTAACCCTAAACCCTAAACCCTAAACCCTAAGCCCTAAGCCCTAAGCCCTAAACCCTAAACCCTAAACCCTAAACCCTAAACCCTAAACCCTAAACCCTAAACCCTAAACCCTAACCCTGAACCCTAAACCCTAAACCCGAAACCCTCCCTTAAGAACCCTATAATGTACCCTAAGTGGCATCCTGCCCGCCATTGCCCACGCGATTGTGCTGATCTTCACTTGCCTCGGGTTGCGGGGCACCGCGGCAATTCCACTCTGCGGCCGCAGTGTGCTGCACCTTGGTGGCCCACATATTTGGCCATTTCCTCAACCCTAAACCCCAAACCACCGCCAGAATTGAGGCCCTAAACCAGAACCCCGCCCTCAAACCACTTCGGGAGGTTCACAGAAACACGGGGCCTTCTGCGTAGGGCTGCCCACTTGGGAGTTAAACCCTAAACCCTAAACCCTAAACCCTAAACCCTCAATATCCCAAGAGAGGGGAGTCGGACCGGACCCAAAAGCACGTTTCCCGACTTGGAGGTTCATGGTACTCATGAACTCGTTGTAGCTTTACTTATAGGGTTTAGGGTTTAGGGTTTAGGGTTTAGGGTAACTGTACGTATAACTGTACTTATCGCCATATTAGGGCACTGTAAGTGGGTTATAGGGTTACTATGATTAGTGACTAAGTACCATGCGCCTCCAAGTAGTTGCCTTACTTGGACTTTAGCCTCTTGGGTTTCTACCCTAAACCCTAAACCCTAAACCCTAAACCCTAAACCCTAAACCCTAAACCCCTAAACCCCTAAACCCCTAAACCCCTAAACCCCTAAACCCTAAAGGAGCCTACAAGTTCAGCCTTTAGGAGGGGTTCAGAAGTCAGCCAAGTTCAGGGTTTCGGATTTAGGGTATGGACACCCTAAACCCTAAACCCTAAACCCTAAACCCTAAACCCTAAACCCAGCTGAGGAACCTGTTCTTGGCCAGGGGCCTCGGGACACTTGCGGAGGTCATGCTGTGTGCCTGCTTCTGCCCCCCACAAGAGAGTGAAGACTCCTCCGGCGAGGAGTCGTCAGGTTCCTTGGCTGGCTCCGACAATTCGGAGTGAGAAGGCTTAGTAGACGCCGGAGCACAGACGCGAGCGACTCCCGGAGCAGGTGACCCTAAACCCTAAACCCTCAACCCTAATCTGGCTCCGTGGCGGTCTACTTTGCCTCTGCGGCCAAGCATTATGAAAAGGTGTTTATCGCCAGATTGAGCTGAGAGGTCTCGGACGCCCCGCTCAGCCACCCGCCTGGTGCGTATTTCTTTTCTTGGTATCCTCGTGGTACCCTTTGGGCCCACCTTGTTGGTTCAAAGGTTCCCTTATAAACTTAGTTGTAGAGTCGGTAGCCTTTAACTTTTTTTGGGAGAATCAGAATCCCCTTAAAATCCCAGAGGTTAACCTTTAGTTCTCCCCCATAGGTACTGGACAACTAGGTAAACTAACCCAACGCAAAACAGGGCACCCTTGATGTAACGTGATGACTGGGCTACCAAGTTTTCAAATGTTCGGTAGGCTCAGCCTTGCTGGAAGGGAAGAAAAGCAACCGCGTGCGTTGTCACCCGTAAACTCACACAAAACCCACCGTCATGGAGGCACTTCGCGCCCCAGGTTGCCTGCTATCTCTAACCCTAAACCCTAAACCCTAAACCCTAAACCCTAAACCCTAAACCCTGAGTGGTAGCCTTCTTGCCTTTGACCAAGGATTCGGTCTCCTTGTGAGAGGAAGGGCTGCGAAACGCGAAGCTGCAAACCCTTTGTGGCTAAGACCCTGGCAAAGCTGAACCTGAGACCCGACAATCCGAACCCAGGGTTTGGGGTTTAGGGTTTATGGCTTAGGGTCTAGGTTTTAGGGGGTTTAGGGTTTAAGGTTTAGGGTTTAGGGTCTAGGGTTTAGGGGTTTAGGGTTTTTGGTTTTTGGTTTAGGGTTTAGGGTTTAGGGGTTAGGGTTTAGGGTTTTTGGTTTTTGGTTTAGGGTTTCGGGTTTAGGGTTTAGGGTTAGCAAGGTTTTAGGGTTCAGGGTTCAAGGCCGCCAGGGCCGGGCGGAGTGCAAAGCCCGGTGAAGACCGTCTCAAAGCGTGCTGCAACAAACAAGGTAGAGGGTTTAGGAACCCTACCTTCAGAACCCAAAAACTTTTCGGTTTAGGGTTTAGGAAGGAACCCTACCTTAAGAACCCCCCCAAAAATTTTTTTGTGTGGGCTACCTAAGAATCCTACAACGGGGTTTTGGAGTCGTGGCCTACAAAATCAAACAGGCTTCGGGTCCTTCAGGCAAATTCCCCCAAACCCTAAACCCCCTTCTAAACCCTCTAACTTGGGGAGAAGCAAAGGGTTCAACGTCTGGCGCTTTTTTTGTTATCTTTGGGGTCCAGGGTTTAGGGTATAGGGTTTAGGGTTCAGGGGTTTAGGGTTTAGGGTTTAGGGTTTCTTAGGAGCAGAGCCTGTGTGGAAAGGCTTATGCCTTCTTAAGGAAAAACAGCAGGGACCCGGAACCTCAGAAGGGGCCCTTGATTTTGTTCCCCTATTTAACCCCCTATATAGCCTTCTATAGTAGTGTTAAGCTGCCCTACACTACCCCTAAGGTCCCTTATATGGGTCCCTCCATTTCCTCCAGTTTAGGTCCTGAACCATAAAGCCCCTAAACCTGAAAGCTTCGGGTTTGTTTGGTTTTTTGTCGTGTTTTTTTTTGGTGGGTTTCAGGGTTTTTGAAGTTTTTGTTAGGGTTTTTTTTGGGGTTTAGGGTTTAGGGTTTAGGGTTTAGGGCCCCAACCCCAAGAATCCGACGCCAAAGCCAAGAGCACAAACCTGCGGACAGAAAAACAGATCCCACAATTCCGGCTTAAAGTAAACCCGAAACCCTAAACCTGAAACCCTAAACCCTAACCTGAACAGCAAGAGTGTACCAGAAATGCAAGAAAATTCAGATGCACCCAACCAAGGTGGGTGCAATTCGCTCTGCTTGGGTCGTTGGCTCCCTGGGCTATCCATCTATGGCTACGCAGTGTAGTTTAAGGTTTAGGGTTTAGGGTTTAGGGTTTAGGGTTTAGGGTTTAGGGTTTAGGGTTTAGGGTTTAGGGGTCCAGCATACCCATTCTAAGCCCTACACTGCCGCAGTATAGGGTTTAGGTGCTTGTTTTTTTGAATGGGTATGTCCCCTGAAACCCTAAGCTAATGCTTGTGTAGTTAATTTCAGGTCTGTGCCTGGATTGAGTGGTATGAGCCTCGGGTTCTTTGGGTCCTTACACTCCCTCAACACTGACCATGCACCCTCTAAGCCCTCAAAGCCCTCTAAACCCTACAAACCCCATAACTCCTATAAACCCTATAAACCCCGTAAGCCCCATAAACTAATTCCTATCAACCCTATTAACCCTATAAACTCTGTATATATCCTAAAAAACCCCTCAAAGCCCTCAAAACCCAATTTCCTCTCTCAACCCTCTCAACCCCCAAAGCAACCATGAACCCTACAAACCCCTAAAATCCGATAAACCCCACAAACCCTAAAAAGCATAAGCCCTATAAACTCTTTTTTATAAATCCTAGAAACCTATTAAGCCCCTTTAAACCCTCCATCCTAAACGGCTACGCAGACGCCGAAACAAAAAAACCTAAGACCCTCAGCAAAAGCCTTAGGCCCTCCATCCTAGAAAACCCATAGAGCCTATAAACTCTACTTGCAAACCCTACCCTATATACCCTGTGAACCCTATAAACCCTGTAAATCCTACTTGGAGGTTCATGGTACTTAGTAACGAATTATAACTGTACTTATAGCCCACTTATACGTCCCTGAAGTGCCCTAAGATGGTGATAATAATTAGTTACAAAGTACCATGAACCTCCAAGTATTCTTAATCCGCTATATAACCCCTATATACACCTTATATAGTCCCTAAGTAGCCCCTAAATAGCCCCTCGAAACCCGATAAAGGGGCCTGTTTAAGAACCCTGAAAGGCGACACGGCGACACACATCTTTTTACAAAACCTATAAACCCTAAAAAACCCTAAAGAACCCTAAACCCTCCATCCAACAAAAACAAGACTGCACACCCAAAACACCCTACACACCCTATAAACCTTGTAAACCCCGTAAACCCTATGAACCCTAAAACTAGGTGGGACTTTACTACAACTTTATCACTTTATAAGTTCAGGGTTCCTCTAATTTCATATTAAGGGAGCTAAAAGTTAAACTTTTATTGGGGGGTTAAACTGCTCTAAACCCTGAACCCTAAACCCTAAACCCTAAACCCTATGAACCCTGAAAGGCTACACAGACTCCGGCTTTTGGTCCCCCGCACTGCGGGAGCTGGAGCGGCGGGCCCGCGGACGGGACCGTGGGTGGGAAGGGTGGCCCTAAAACCCTAAACCTTAAATCCTAAACCCTAAACCCTGAACCCTGAACCCTAAACCCTAAACCCTCAACCCTAAACCCCAAACCCTAAACCCTAAACCCTAAACCCGAAGCCGTAGCTCCTTAGTCTTGTTAGTTTCTTCAGGGCTTGGAGCCATTTTGAGAGTCTAGAGGGTTTTTTTCGGGGTTAGGGTTTTGAGGGGTTAGGGTTTAGGGTTTAGGGTTTAGGGTTTAGGGTTTAGGGTTTAGGTTGCATAGGATTGATGCGTCTTGAAACGTGGCTTTTCGGCCTCTAGGTCTTCATAAGATTTAGGACGTTTAGAGTTTGTAGAGATCTCGGCCCAATTTCCTTTAGAAGGCTCCAGGCGTTGCAGGGTTGTCAGTTTTACATAGGATAACCTTCAGAACCCCAAGCCTACTTTTTGGAAGGTTGTTTTTACAGAACCTCTTGTAGGAATCCTAGGTAATCTACAGAAAAGCAGGTTTTTGGGTTCCCAGGAAGTGTGTGCAGGCTGCTTCCGGTGGTAGGCAGGTCAGCGTAGCCAGTCTTTTGCGCATCACGACCAACAGGAGTGCGTGCGTGTGTGAGGGTGTGGGCGTGGGTGCTTCGTGTGGGTGTGGGTGTCAAACACCCCCAAAGAGCCTGAACCCTAAATCCTAAACCCGAAACCCCAAAACCCTAACACCCCTAACACCCCTAACACCCGGGTGTGCAGGGGCATCCTAGATTGTAGGGTTCTTAAGGGAGGGAGGTTCATAAGGAATAGGTACATAGGGAACCTTGGGGAAGCTTAGGGAGCCTTGGGGAGTAGTGGGGAGTAGTAGGGAACCTTGGGTTATGTGCCCTCCTTGAACCCCCTCCGTCAAGAACCCCTATAATAACAGAACCCCAAAACCCAAAACCCCAAACCCCAAACCCTAAACCCTCCTTAAGGACCCCATAGTTCGAGCATCACGGCATCCATGGGCTGTGGCGGGGCAAGGTTTCAGGGACGACCCTCAACCCGAAACCCCAAACCGTAAACCCTCAACCCTCAACCCTAAACCCATGTCAAGCCCGTCTCCCTAAAGCCATGACCTTCTCCAGAATGATGCCTGGAACCATGGGCTCCTTGTATGGTTCCCTTATCCTTATTATAGGTATCCGAAGTATATAGAGTAGGGTTAAGCGTTTAGGGTTCAGGGTTCATGGTTTTGGGTTTAGGGTTTCGGGTTTATAGAACAAGGGACCCAAATGAAGGGCCCATACTTGGAAACATTTGGAAACCTTAGATCCAGGATGAGGCCTGGAATCCGGACGACATTGCCAGCGCAGCCCTCCTCTCTGCAAGGGTGCTGGCCAAGCTCCAGGCGCTTGCGGAGTAGGTTTTAGGGTTTAGGGTTGAAGGGTTTTAGGGTTTAGGGTTTAAGGGTTTTAGGGTTTTAGGGTTTAGGGTTGAAGGGGTTTCAGGGTTTCGGGCTGAAGGGTTTAGGTTCCAAAGGTTTCAGGGTTTAGGGTCTCTAGCAGCACCATCACCATGACCACATTCCCACCTCGTTGCGCCCAGCGATAAAATGCACGCCTACACGGCGTTGACTTTGGAACCTTGGCTTGTGTTTAATACTTCCTGTTTCTCCCCTAAACCCTAAACCCCTAAACCCCTAAACCCCTAAACCCCTAAACCCCTAAACCCCTAAACCCTAAACCCTCGGGGAGATGACCATCAACAACTTGCTTTTTCCAGAACGCCTTAGCAGTTTGTTGGGGCATCCTCTCACGCGCAATGTGGCGACTGCTTGGAGACTGAAGAACAACCCCAAGCCCAGAGCCCAGCACCCGCGAACTCAGGAAGATATGCCTTCTTCCAGATTTTGATCCCCATGGACAAGTTTGAGTTGCATTCCTTAATTGAAGGGCCTTAGGACCCTTCAACATCTAGCCGCAGACCGTCGCCCTGGAGCTCCTTCCTAAGCCCTAAACCCTAAACCCTAAACCCTAAACCCTAAGCCCTAAACCCTAAACCCTAAACCCTAAACCCTAAACCCTAAACCCTAAACCCTAAACCCTAAACCCTAAACCCTAAACCCAGCCCCTTAAACATGGTCCCTTACCTTCCGAAAGGGGTTCTGACGAATGGGCCCTTGGCTTTTGGAGGGGATGTAAGGGATCGATAGGGCCCCGTAGAACCCTAAACCCTGAGCCCCTACTTGGAGGTTCATGGTACTTAGTAACCAATTATAACTGTACTTATAACTGTCCTTATAGCCATATTAGGGGCACTTTGGGGGGGCGTATGAGTGGGCTATAAGTACAGTTATCATTAGTTACTAAGTACTATGGACCTCCAAGTAGACCCTGTTCCAAGTTCACTATAGTCAAACTACTCTGAGCCCTAAACCCTGCGACTAAACCCTAAACCCTAAATCCTAAACCCCTAAACCCCTAAACCCCTAAACCCCTAAACCCCTAAACCCCTAAACCCCTAAACCCCTAAACCCCAAACCCCAAACCCCTAAACCCAAACCCTGTAAACTCCTCTAAGACCCCCAGGCGTCCAAGAGCGCAGATCCCTCCCCCTTGGCGGCCCCTGCCGCATCACTGCTGTCCTCGGTGAGCAACCTGGCGCTGCAGAGGACGGTGGGGGGGGGGGGGGGGGGTTGGGGTTTAGGGTCTAGGGTTTATAAGGTTTAGGGTTTAGGGTTTAGGATTTAGGGTTGAACAAGGCTTCAGAGGGCCCCCGTTCGGTGCCTCAGAGACTTCAGAAGCTCGCTGGCAAGAGCCGTGCGAACCAGAGCCTTCCTCCATGCTCGCCTCAGCAACAAGAACAAAGTACCCCTCCCCGCCCCCTCTTGACCCCTCGACTCTCAAAGCCGTGAAATCCGGTTTAGGGTTTAGGGTTTAGGGTTTAGGGAAGCACCGGGAGGCATCGCAGCTCTAAAACATCCTCGGCAGCGCAGCTGCGCCAAAACCCTGGACCCTCAAGCCTCAGTCAACCTTCAACAGTCCGTCCTGAGCCCTGTAACCCTCCAAAAGACCTGAACCCTAAACCCTAAACCCTAAACCCTAAACCCTAAACCCTAAACCCTAAACCCCATCCATAGAAGAAACACTTCCTGCAACCGCTAAGCGCCAAACTCGGAAATCCACGAGGGTCACCGAGTTTGGCCCGCGGGAGCTGGGGGTGCTTGCCACAGTGGCCTGGCTGGGTCTAGGGTGTATAGGGTTTCCATGCAAGTTTTTTGAGAGTTCAGGGTTTAGGGTTTAGAGTTTGGGGGAGGAGGGGCGGGGGGGGTTAGATTCAGGATGTAAGGAACCTACTCCCCGAATTCCCCGCAAGCCTCTCGAACTCGCCCACAAGCAACATGCAAGACCCTTACATGTGCATGTAAGTCCGAGACCCCGCCACCCCAAACCTTAAGCTCAAAACCCTAGACCCTAAGCCCTATGCCCTAAGCCCTAAACCCTAAACCCTAAATCCTTAACCCAATCAACAGGCCTAAGCCTTAAGCCGCAAAAAGTTCCCAAAACCTATAGCTCCCAAACCCTCACCCATGCAGCGCCACTAACTCGCACATCGCTACAAGCCCAAGACCCAATTCTGCCGTAAGATCTAAGCCCAAGACCCTATGTACATCCCCTATTATATGTGGCAGAGAGTGCTTGCAAGAAACCTAAACCCTAAACCCTAAACCCTAAACCCTAAACCCTAAACCCTAAACCCTAAACCCCACCCATACAAGCGCCACTGGGAGCTGAGGCCCTCGTGAAGGCCGAGCAAGACACGGGCCGGCTTTTTGCAGCCATGCCCCTTTGGCCTTCAAGGGTCTTCTAGGGTTTAGGGTTTAGGGTTTAGGGTTTAGGGTTTAGGGTTTAGGCCTCAGCAGTCCTAGGCTAAAAGGGCTTAGGTTCGCCCAAGGCGTGTTGTGTGCGATGGCGTCATGAAGTTTCCTGAAGGCAAGTTGCATGTGTGCCGGCAGCTTCAAAGTCCGTCGTTCAAAAACACAGGGTTTAGGGTTTAGGGTTTAGGGTTTAGGTTTTAGGGTTTAAGGGCGAATCACAATGTCACGATCTCCATTGCACGTTGTGAGGTGTATTTTCTAGTTAAGACTCACGCGCTGCCTTTGAGGGTTCCGGGTTCCGAGAGCCTGCCCACGCAGGTCGCACCAAGCGCAGCAGCTGATAACACAGGGATCCGACTTCAACCACCTGGATCTTTGCCAGAGTCCCGCCTGACTTCATGTTACGGGCTTACCGGTTGAGGGTTGAGAGTGGTCTTGGGCAACAACTACGGTTTGCGGTAGTTCTTGTCTTCGGGTCTCAGCTCAGGGGCGGGGGGGGGGGGGGGGGGGGGGGGGGGGGGGGGCAGTGGAGTTGGGGCCTGCGTGGAAGGCGAAACCCTAAACCTCAAAGCCTAAAACCCAAACCCTAAGTCCCAAACCCTAAGAAGCCCCAAGCCCTAAACCCTAAACCCTCAACCCCAACTCCAAGGCACTGAACGTGAAAGTACCTAAACCCTAAACCCTAACCCTAAACCCTTAACCCTAAACCCTAAACCCTAAACCCCAAACCCTAAACCCTAAACCCTAAACCCTAAACCCTAACCCCAAAAGACCCCAAAGCGGGTACCCTTACTATGACGTAGCTACTTAGCTACCAAGCCGAGGCCCGAAACCGTGCATCAGGGTTAAGGGTTTACTTGGAGGTTTAGGGTTTAGGGTTTAGGGTTTAGGGTTTAGGGTTTAGGCTTAGTAACTAATTATAACGGTACTTATAACTGTACTTATATCCATATTAGGGCACTTAAGGGGCTTATAAGTTAATCATAAGTACAGATATATTTAGTTACTATAGCTAAGTACCATGAACCTCCAAGTAGGGTTTAGGGTATAGGGCTACCCAGTTTCATGCCCTACTTTGTCCAGGGTGCTCATCTAGAGTCTCCTTGGGAGTTGTGTGTTTAGGGCTTAGGGTTCTCGTTCAGACAAAGTGCAATGGACTGTTGTTATGGTTCTAAGGTGGGCATAGTCTAGGGTTGAGGGTTATGGGTTTAGGGTTAGTAAGTCATGCATGTGGCTTAGGGTGGCTCTCAAAGTACGCAACCCCACCTTAAAGCCCAGCTTGATTCACCCCTGAACCAGGGTTTAGGGTCAGGGTTTGGGGGTTTAGGGTTTGGGGTTTGGAGGTTAGGGTTTAGGGTTTAGGGTTTGGGGTTTAGGGTTTAGGGTTTAGGGTTTAGGGAGGTTTCAGGCCAAACCCTCGAGACCCGGCACTAAACCCCAAAAGACTCACCGCAAATCTCTGAAACCCCAAGAGAAGACACTCCAAAGGGAAGGGTCGCCCGTACGAGCCGAACTGCAACTCTTAAGGTCTTAGGGTTTAGGCCCTAAACCCTAAACCCTAAACCCTAAACCCTAAACCCTAAACCCTAAACCCTAAACCCTAAACCCTCATAGGTTTCAGGGTTGGGGACTTAATCCCTTCCCGCTTGTATTCAACGCACCCCCTAATTGTCAAAATACTATCCGGACAATCCTGCCGAAACCGACCCTTTTAAACCCTATTCCGAATTGGGGGGGGGGGGGGGGTCAGGGCCTCAAAAACCTTCAAGCCAGTCTAAACCATCCCAGAAGATGGCATAGGAATTAAAAACATCCTCTAATTTGAAAAAACGCATTTCGAGTTTCTATTGGGGGGGGGGGGGGGGGGGGGGGCCGCCCGTTTAATAATAGGGGGAAGGGATTATTTCCTAAGTCGGACAAATCTTCTAACCCACACTTGAAAACTCGATGCCCTGCACAAACATAGACCCCGCAATATACGTGTCTACACCCATATACATGTATATGTGTCATATACATAGAAGTGTATGACTATGCAGATGTACGATGTTCTGTATCCCCTCCTTCTAGAGCGAGTTTGGGGCTTCCCCCCCCCCCCCCCCCCCCCCCCCCCCCCTCCCCCCCCCTCTCCCCCCCTTCTCCCATTCATGGTGGGGTGGGTTTAGGGTTAGGGCTTCTTTCCAGGCATATCCCAAGCTCCTGGTTCAAGAAGGGTTCGGAGCGGGGACAGCGTGGTGGGAGGCCGGGATAGCATCCAAGCTGATGGGGTTGGCCCCGCGGGGTGTTGAGATACCAAGGGACCGGGGAGCATGTGTGTAAACCTTAATAAACCCGAAACCAACTTCTTCTTGTAGGTGATTCCTCTGAAAACCCTTATCGGATTCCGAGGTAACCTACAACAAATTTGGTTCTTGTGGCATACATGTAGCAAAGGGACCCTAGCTGCCCCAGCTGGGATCAACCCGAGGCTATTGGCCTCATTGGCTCACTTCGGATTTCGCACGGCGCTGAGCTGCACAATCTCGCAAGCATCGAGCAAGTGGGTTTATAGGGTTGTGGGTTGGGTTGCAGCTGGTTTTAAGGTATTTAGAATATTCAGGGTGCCCCGGGTCTTCAGGGCTTTCGGGTATGTACGAGCTTCAAGTGTGGAACCACAGGAACTAGAAAAAAAACCGGTGCTAGCAACTTATCGTAGCCCTGAACGCTGAACCCTGACCCCTAAACCCTAAACCCTCCTCCACGCGCAGGTGACGAGATGCTCCTGAAAGCCTTGATGTCGAAGGTCGAGCCCCGATTCCACGCCTACGACGCGAAGTCGCGAGACATCGCGCCCCCGGCGCAAGAAGTCTCCGGCCTCCGGAGCCTGAAGGGCGAGTTTGGGGTTTAGGGTTTAGGGTTAGGGTTTAGGGTTTAGGGTTTAGGGTTTAGGGTTTAGGGTTTAGGGTTTATAGGGTTTAGGGTTTAGCAAACGTGAGGCCCCAAAGCACGCCGCTTAGAAGGAATGGGATTGTAGCGAGGGGGTTCCAGGGTCAGGGATCGTTGGGGCTTGGGGGGGGGGGGGGGGTTATGGGGTGTTTTGAGGAATCTTGCTTAGGATGCTGTTTGCATGACCATGTCTCATTCAGGGGTAAAGACGCCGGTCACGATTTGAAATCATCAGTGCCCGAAGAACTAGCCCAGCTCATCGGGCCCTCAGCCCTAAACCCCTTGAAACCGCCTGAAGCCCTAAAATCCTAAACCCTACACCCCGGCCCTAGACCTTGAAACCCAAAAATCCTAAACTAAGAAGTTGGGATGTTTAACAGTCCTTAACAGGGATTAAAGTACCCCTAACTATTATACCGACTAAGGACTGTTAGAAAAAGGGTGACTATGTACCTCATTCGCCCATTCCCTACTCAGAACAACCCTAAACCGTAATCCCTAAACCCCGAAGCCTAAGCCCTAAACCCCAAGCCCCAAACCCTAAACCCCGAACCCTAAACCCTAAACCCTAAACCCCGAAACCCCTAAAACCCCAAGCCCTAAACCCCTATAACCCTAAAACCCTAAACCCCAAACCCTAAACCCCGAAAACCCTAAACCCCTAAAACCCCGAACCCTAAACGGTAAACCCTGAAGTTCTCTGGTCCCTAAACCCCGAACCCTACACCCTAAACCCTAAACCCTGAGGTTCTCGGGTCCCTAAACCCCGAACCCTACACCCTAAACCCTAAACCCTAAACCCTAAACCCTAAACCCTAAACCCTAAACCCTGAGGTTCTCTGGTCCATGTCCGAGCTGAACTTTACCTGTTCGGAGCACCCTCAGCTCAGCGAGGCCCTGACGGCCCCTTTGGCGCACGACTTGGGTTTAGGGTTTAGGGTTTAGGGTTTAGGGTTTAGGGTTTAGGGTTTAGGGTTCAGGGTTCAGGGTTCAGGGTTCAGGGTTCAGGGTTCAGGGTTCAGGGTTCCGGGTTTGGGGGTTTGCATATCAGTGCGGGTGTATTCAGGTAGCTGTCTACCTACTGGTTCTTCGTAGGGATACCCTTTAAGGGATGCTGTAGACCAGTTCTCAGGGCCACTGCAACTGAAACCATTTTGTTTTGGCTGGTTCTAGCCGACCTTGGGTTTAGGTTGTAGGGTTAGCCACGAGTGCTGCCCAACAGCCAGGCCGGACGCTTCGAGTGCCTGAGAGAGAGACAGGTTTTAGGGTTTAGGGCTTAGGGGTTCTGAGAGAGAGAGAGAGAGAGAGGGCTTAGGGGTTTTAGGGGCATACTTGGCTTCCAACAACACCCTGGGCCACAAGCCCTCGAAGTGCCCGCCGCGTGGAAGTGAGTCGCAACCTGCGGAAGTTAACCCTCTAAACCCTAAACCCTAGACCCTAAACCCTAAACCCTAGCGTCAGGGGACCCATGAGGGGCCAGTGCCCCTGAACGAGGACACCTCCTTGAATTCCAATAGGGATCCTGAGTTTGACTCAAGGATAGTGTCCAGTTGAGCTGCGTTGCTTTAAGCGCTCGAGCATAGGTACTTTGCAGCGGACATTATTATTGTCCGCGGAAGGGGTGAAGAGGTGAACAAGATTCCGCGGAAGGGTCCGCGGAAGGCGTGGTGTCCGCGGAAGGCTCGCGGAAGGGCGGCGTGCTTGAAACTTAGATATAATGGATGCCCAACATGCCGGCAACCGTTTCGGAGAGCGGATCTGCGCGGAAGGCCCCCCGCGGAAGGGTTGCGGAAGCTCCGCGGAAGGCGACGGGTCGTTTTGGAGGCCTAGAGTCCATGCCTCATCCTCATATATACACATTAGTCACTCATTTCTGTTTCGGGCCGGGTGCGAAAGTGCGTTGTTCCGCGGAAGGCTCGCGGAAGGAACGCGGAACACGCCGCGGAAGGCCGCGGAAGGGTCCGCGGAAGGGTTATAATGTCCATCGATTCATGCTAGAGAAAAAAACATGGCTCATTTGAGGATTCATACCTGTCCACGTTTCAGTGTGCTGGCTCATGCTACGAATATGTAAACCCTAGACCCTAAGCCCTACACCCGAATCTGTAAACTCAAAACTCCAAACGCCTAAACCCTAAACCGACAACCCTGTATCCCAGGAACACGAGCTGGCCCGTGGCAGAACCACGGAGCGGACCCAGGATCACATGCTGCTGGGACTATCTCGGCGCTCAAAGAAACCCTAACACCTAAACCCTAAAGCGTCCCTTTCCTTCTTAGGGTAGTTACATGGTCCCTTAACATGGGGCCCTTAAAAGGGGACCCCTTACATACCCCTTATATACCCTACACAACCTAGGGGGCCCGTACTTCGGGACCCTTTAAAGAGGGTACGGGACCATGTTAAGGACCCATTAAAAACTGCCGGTAGATTTCTCAGATCAGGATTTCGAGTACCCTAAACCCTAAACCCTAAACCCTAAACCCTAAACCCTAAACCCCTAACCCTAAACCCTAAACCCTGAACCCGAAACCCTAAACCCTTTAAGGTTTTTTCCCTAGTTGGGGGCCCTGGTCCCGATGAGAGTGCTACCCTCGGCCTCCTTTTTCTTGAAGTGGGCTTAGGGTCATTTTTGGGTTTGGGGTTTAGGATTTTTGGGGCCTTGGGTTTTTTGTTAGGTTTAGGGTGTAGGGTTGGGGTTTTAGGGTTTAGGGTTCAGGAGAGGGCCTTCACTTTTTTTGTTTTCTTTTGTTTTGGGGGGGGGGGGGGGGGGGGGGGGGGGGGGGGTGTGTGTTTTAGCAGGTTCTCTCAGGGGATGAGGACTCATATCCCTAAGGTTGTACCCCTCAAGGCCCCCATTCATATACTCCTAATATGGCCCTTAGATTCCCTTAGGGATCCTTCAAAAGGGACCCCAAAGCCCGAGGGTACAACCTTAAAGGTCCAAGGTGGAACTCTGAGATTCTTAAGCCCTTTAAGCTCTTGAAGTGGGTTTGGGGTTTTTAGGGTCAGGGCTTAGGGCTTAGGGCTTAGGGTTTCAGGTACCCTTCTCATTCCTCAGTTGCCGACTTAGGTTGGCCACAGAGATCCAACCGATCGACGAGTGGGCGGAAGAAAAAGATTTAGGATCTAGGGCTTAGGGTTTAGGGGTTAGGGATCTCTTGGTCAAGGGTCGCTTAGGTGATTCGGGGTCGAGGAGCTTAGGCGGGTTTGGCAGAGTTCGGCACTGCCCTCAGTCCTCATATGAAGCTCAGCAGAGTCGTGCATCACGTTCCTTATCGTGGCCTTGGGGGTGTGTGCTCGCACCCGATAGGCGAAATAAGAAAATGGGCGCCCCTTGTGCCCAAAAAGCCAACTTCTCCCCCTCCCCTGAACTTCCACCCCACCCTCCCTTGCGCTTTCTCAGGGCTCAAGTGAAAGATACCTGGAAGGGCCCGAGGGGGGTTTAGGGGGTTTTCCGGCAAAGTCTCGATATCATGGCCGGCAACTCACCCACCTCGCCCTTACCGGGCGTGACGCGGGGAGGGGTGAAGCCCGTAGCCCCTCTGGGCAGCTTGGGGAGCATCTTGGCTGCCACTTCAAGAGACTCTGTGGCTGGCTCTTAGTAGGGAATGAGGGCATGAGGTACCCTATAGAATCCCTTGCAGGGTGTAATTGTAGGGCCTTAATTCCCTCATTCCTTACTAAGAACCAAGTTTTTTTGTTTGCCTGGTTCGTCAGGCCGAGAAGCCAAAACCCAGGAGATAGCTTGCAGCTGCCCGTCGTATGTTTGCGTAGGTGTGTAGAAACCCTAAACCCTAAACCCTAAACCCTAAACCCTAAACCCTATAAACCCTAAACTCGTACCGCTTAGCACGCAACCGAGGCATCACCATCCATTCCCCGATAGGATCCGTGAATGGTAGCGCCTTTGCGAGCGGCCACTTCAAAGCCACCCCCGCGGGCCAACGACGCCGCTGGTGCGACTACACCCCAACCGAAACTGGGCCGTTGTTGAAGATAATTTTACGGTTTTATGACTATACTTAAACCCAATAAGAAACATGCAGCTAAAACCTCAACCCTAAACCCTAAACCCTAAACCCTAGACCCTAAACGGATCATTTCCAAGTAGTACCCCAACAATGGTGCAGGAAATGTGGCCAGCCACCCCGAGCCCGGGGGCGGGGCCGGAGGCCATACACAGCTCCTTGGGGACGAAATGTAGTCCAAAAAGGGTTTATGGTTCATACATACCTGAATGGGAATTATAGTAGTAAGGGAACAGATGACCCCTATTTTTAGGGTTCCTAAAAGGGTTTATGGTTCATATACTTTAACGGGAACTACAGTCGTAAGGGAATCTATGACCCCCCCCCCCCAAATTAGGAAAACCCTAAACCCTAAACCCTAAACCCTAAACCCTAAACCCTAAACCCTAAACTCGGGTTCATTTGGTCCTTGAGGCTTTGGGGTGCCCGCAGCCGCCGCGACGCCCACCTCCCCATCGGCGATACCATCGGCGCAGGCGTTCCCTGCATACACAGTGCAAAGCCAGCCGCAGCAACTTGGTAGTGTTTAGGGTTTAGGGTTTAGGGTTTAGGGTTTAGGGTTTAGGGTAGCCCAGTGGTATCTTTTTTCCCCTAGGATGCCCAGTAGTACCCTTATTCCCTTTTTGGGGGGTTTAGGTTCCCTTGTAAACCCTTTAAGCAAAAAAGGGCACCCTTTTTAAGCCGAGGTTACTGGGCAGCCTAGTCCCTTCTTGTTAGCTCAAGGTGAACTTCTACAGTCACCAACCCCAAACAGCGTATGCCCGGTATACCCTTTATGTAGTATGGTTCAATGTGAACTTATAAAGTAACCCACCTCAGACAGGGTATACCCTTAATGTAATCTGGTGCAAGGTGAACTTATAAAGTAACCCACCCCAAAGAGGGTATACCCTTAATGTAATACATGTAATATGGGAGTTAACGATAATAAGCGACCCTTAAACAAAAACAAATAGTAGGATTCTTTTTAATAAGGACGCCTACCCCGTACCCCTAAACCCTAAACCCTAAACCCTAAACCCTAAACCCTAAACCCTAAACCCTAAACCCTAAACCCTAAACCCTAAACCCTAAACCCTAAACCCTAAACCCTAAACCCTCCCCCCTAAACCCTAAACCCTAAACCCCCCAGTATGGTTCCTGGGCTACCAAGGCAAAGTCAGCACCAGCAGGTGCCTGAACTGCATTTGGCCGGACAGGGGGTTTAGGGTTTAGGGTTTAGGGTTTAGGGCATCTTGCATGGGCTTGGGTCGGACGCTGAGTCCTGAGTGTCTCCTCCCAACAAACCCCAGTACCCCTTTAATTCAGGAATATACCTTGAATCATACAACGAGGATCCCTATGAAACATGATTTACGGTCTTTCAGTCTATTCCTTGCTGAAGGGGGTAAATTGGGGCTCTCTCTGGGCTTTCTCAAGGGGTCCATACCCCCACAAATTTGTTTGTTACTTGGGCGTTAAAGGGTTTTTTTTATATGCAGTAGCTGTAGGGCCAAGATGTATGCTTCATAGGTACGTGGGGGACCTTGGGGTTGACGGCGTGTTGCGTGTCCAAGGTGCCGCTGCCCGTGCAGGCACCGGCGCATGGCCCTGTGCAAGCAGTGCCCACGACCGCCTCGCTTCCAGCGCCTTTCCCGGGCGCAGTAGCTTGGTAGCCCAGGGGGTACCCTTTGCGGTTTAGGGTTGAGGGTTTGGCAGCCCAGGGGGTACCCTTTTGCCCTTTGTTTGGTGAACCAGCTCCCCTAAATGTAAACATCATAAAACCTACAAACCCTTCACAAAAAGGGTACCCTGAATTCAAGATGGTTACTGGAACTACCAAGGTAATCCCGTCCGGCATGCCGGCCGTCCCAATGCCGATGCACATGCCGGTGCAAGGAGCCACGGATGATGGGGGCTCAGGGATGTTCAGGGTTTAGGGTTGCACAGTCCCTTTTAGGGGTTCTGTAGCTACTGCTTGCTTCAGAACCACCCAAAAAAGCAACATTTATGTTCCTTATGATTTTTTTTTTGCGGGGATGGGGGGGAGTTCTTAAGCAAATAGTAGATAGAGGGATATAAGCTGAGCTAGACTTCCTCAGGAACTAGGAACCTTCCCTCCTCCCCCGCCCCCCCTCATGTGCAACTTCGCATGTCAGGTCCAGAGTTCCTTTTCACGTAGTCTTGGGAAGGGGGGGGGGGGTGGTAGCGAATTGGAACGGGTCTTTTGGGGTAGTTTATGCTGCCTTATATTTCTGTATTGGAATGGGTATTTTGGGTAGTGTATGCTTAATACTAAGTTTTTGTTACATTGAATTGATAAAGGGTTGCGTAGGATATATGGACTGGCAGCGCTCAAGCTCGAGGCCTTTCAGATTCATCTGAGGGGACTCCTGTATCCCTAAGGCCTAAACCCCCTAAACCCTACACCGTAAGCCTTTCCGGTGCACTGCTTGGCTGTTGGACTTCCTGTCTCGAAGTTAAAGTTGTTCTGCAGGCCCTTATAGGTCCTTTTGGCCCGCTATGTGGTAAATTCCGAGTACTATGAACCACTGATCCTCCGAGCCCCGTCGCATTGCAAGTGCGACTTGTGCAGGCTTGAACCGGCTGGGTTAAGGGTTTGGGGTTTAGGGCTTTCGGAACGGGGGTGCCCTTCCAAGCCTGCTGCAAAAGGGGTTCTTTGAATTCATAATTCTCCCAGCAGCTGCACGTAGAAGTTCAACGAAAACACCCCACTCTGAACCTGTACTTTGTGGTGCTTTACTGTAACTTTACATCTTTAGCCTTTTTGGGTTTATTGGGTTTCTTAAGAAGGCAGCTAAAAATTAAATCTATAGCTACCCTGCTAAGAGCAGCCAAGTGTAGTTCTGTCAACCTGAGACTGGGAAACACTGGCGTTTTTTTTTGCGAGCAGAGCCTTTGCATGGCTAGAAGTCTTGGTTTAGGGCTTCGTCTTCAAATCCCAACTCCTCAGCGTGCAATCTCCCCACAAACCTTAAAGCTCTGAATGAGCGTTGGTAGCCCCGTGGTGGTCCTTTACCCCATTTTTGGTTCTGGGGTCCCTTATAAAGTAACCAACCCAGACAAAGAGTACCCATGGTTTCTGGACTACTTCATGAGAAGCGCAGCTAAACTTAGCTGAGCACTGAGCCCGGTTACCCCAAAGTGAGCACAGGCAAGAGGCCCGAAGCCTTCCCATCTGTGCTAAGAGGCTCGGGGGTTCGGCTACTACCCCCCCTCTATACCAACCTCCCCCCCCCCCCCCCTAGGTCCCCCCAGCTATTTCGGGATAATTAAGGCCCACTTAACGTTCTTTAAGGGGGGGAACCTAGGGGGGGGAGGGGGGTAGTATCCCTAAACCCTAAACCCAAAAAAAAAACCCTAAGCCCCAAACCCATCTAGACCCTAAACCCTAAACCCTAAACCCTACACCCTACACCCTACACCCTACACCCTACACCCTACACCCTAAACCCTAAACCCTAGATGGGAGTGTGGGGTGCTAGGGAAACCCATGATGAGCTCCCAGGAGGCGCACCCGGCACTGTGGATGGTACGCAGATGGTCATCATGCAGGCTGGGAGTCCGATCTGTGGAGTTTCAACTTAGGGTTTAGGGTTTAGGGGTGTAGGGTGTAGGGTGTAGGGTGTAGGGTGTAGGGTTTAGTTAGGATCTTTAGGGTTTAGGGTTTATAGAGTTTAGGGTTCAGGGGCTTTGTGTGTTTTTGTTGGCTTTTGCTGGGTGTAGCCCTAAAGCCCTAAAGGACTTCTGGGCTTAAGTCCGCCAAGAAACGCCGGGCCAAAACAGCTAAGCTCCCTAAACCCTAAACCCTAAACCCTACACCCTAAACCCTAAACCCTAAACCCTAAACCGGTTTAGGGTTTAGGGTTTAGGGCTGAAGGCTCTCAGCAGGGAGGAGGCGCGAGCTCGAGCAGAGCATCTGCCGGTCGCAAGCAAGCGTCTTGAGGAGTTCAGCCCAGCTAAAGAGGCAGAGGCCCTCGAGCTCCACTGGCGCCACCCCAGGGTTTAGGGTTTAGGATTTAGGGTTTAGGGTTTAGGGTTTAGGGCTTAATTAGGGTTTAGGGTTTGGGATATCCCCCTTGGGAATTATTCTTCATTTTTGTTTATATAAAACCCAAGAGGATATGAAACACATCATTTTATTAAGGTTCTAAGGGGAGTATAGTTTGGTTCAGTCACTTGCGCCCCTTTGTGAACCCCTTAGGCCTCCCCGCAGACTCCTTGTAGAGCTTTAGGCTGGGGTTTAGGCTCTAAGCTGTAGGGCTCAGGCTTTCGGCACGTAACTAGTCCTCATTGCCTTAAGAACCCAAACCAACACCTATTCAGGCTACCTAAGACTCCTATCACCGGCTTTCTATCGTAATGACCTACAAGAAGTATCCTAAACCCCAAACTAGCCCTAAACCCTAAACCCAAAACCGAGTGGGTTGGGGTTCCTTAAGAAGATAAAGGGATACGCAGGGGGCTCTTCGAGTTCACGAGACCATTCGAAGAAAGACCAGGGAACCTCCAAGATTCTCCGGCTGTGGTGCGAAAACTATCTGTTTATACATATATATATATATACATATGATTATATATGCGCATACATATATATATATATATATATGTATATGTACATTTTTTATTTATTCACTTACTTATTCTGTTTTGATTGTTACTGTAATTCGTTTTTATGTACCTTTTCTTTGGGTGGGGGTGTGGTTTTTGCGTTTAGGGTTTAGGGTCCAGGCTTAAGGGTTTATGGTGTGTGTATATATATATACACATATGTCGATGTGTGATGCAGGGCTATGGACTTCGGGGCCTGTAAGCTTGCACCTGATGATTAGAAGTCATGCAAGAAGTTGTTTTTGTGGACCGGAGCACCTTTTTGTCCTGAATCCCAAGCCAGCCTGCCTATACCTAACCCGAAACCCTAAACCCTAAACCCTAAAAAACCAACCCAGAAACCTCCTTCTCCCAGAGACTCCAAAACCCCTTAATGAAGGAATAGAACCTTAAATCATATTAGGATCCTTCTTCTGATTTAAGGTATCTTCCTTTATTAAGGGCCTAGTAGTAGAGTAGGTAACCGTTAACCTTTTTGGGGTAGAAGAATCCCCTTATAATCCCAAAAGGTTTACCTTTAATTCCCCCAGGTCACTGGACAACTAAGGGCTTAACCCTAAACCCTAAACCCTAAACCCTAAACCCTGAACCCTAAACCCTAAACCCTAAACCCTAAACCGGCCCCCTCTCCCGCACACAGGTCCCTGCTCCACCGCAGCATCACCAGGCGGCCTTCTTCCCAATGGCTCCTCCACAACCCGGTGCGCAGGCCGCTTAGGGTTTAGGGGGTTTCAGGGTTTAGGGTCTTAGGGTTTAGGGTTTTAGGGTTTAGGGTTTTTTAGGGTTTAGGGTTTAGGGTTTAGGGGTTTAGGGGTTTAGGGTTTAGGGTTTTAGGGGTTTAGGGCTTTAGGATTTTAGGGTTTTGGGGGTTTTAGGGGTTTTAGGGTTTTAGGGTTTTTGGGGTTTTAGGGGTTTTAGGGTTTTAGGATTTTGGGGTTTCAGGGTTTTAGTGTTTAGGGTTTTTAGGGTTTTTGGGGTTTGAGGGTTTTAGGGTTTTAGGTTTTTCGGGTTTTAGGGTTTTAGGTTATTTTAGGGTGTTCGAGTTTTAGAGTTTTAGGGTTTTAGGCTTTAGGCTTTTAGGGTGTTGGGGTTTTGGGGTTTCAGGGTTTTAGAGTTTTAGGGGTTTAGGGTTTAGGGGTTTAGGGCCGCTGGTTCAGGGCTTGCGGGGTTTGAGGATTAGGTGAGGCATGGTCTGCATACCTGTTTTTGATGAGTGTATTTAGGGTTCCTGAGACAATATTGGTGAGTGTCTGTCATGCATGCGTGTCCTGTTGGGGATACTGTAGAAATAGAAGCCCTACTTCATATGGTTTGGGAGTTTGGGTGTTTTGCAGGAGTACAGGGAGAAGGTGTCGGTTCTGCGGTTGAGGGTTTTGGGGTGTGTGCCATCAGGGTTTGTAGGGTTTTTGGGGTCGGGGCTAGGGGCTCGACTGGATCATAAGGTCCTCAAGAAAGGGGGGCGCATGGGGCGTAGGTACCTCGATATTTTAGGAGCAGTGGTCAGTAGTAGGGGACCTTGCTAAACCTGAAACCCTAAACCCCTTGAACCCCCCTCCCGTAGAAAAACCCCATAAGTTGAGGGTTTTGGGGCGCTAGAAAGTGTGACCTTGCTTTGACTCATGGGTTGTCATGAGGTTTGGGGGTTTTTGGTTTTGGGAGAGGGTTTAGGGTTTAGGGCCTCAAAGAGACCCAGGGCTCAAAAAAGGGTTTTTAGGGTTTAGGATTTAGGGTTTAGGGAGAATTACTGGGTGGAAGGAAAGGGAGAGTTACTGTGCTCCTTTGAACACAGCTTTGGGCGAAAGGGTTCAGTCGGGTCGTTCAGTCGGGTTCTGGGGGTCAACATCTGACAAGGGCGCTTTTCTTCCGCAGCGTGTGAGTGGATCAAGAGCCAAGTAGCCGTCTTCCATAGGAAGCCATGACGCAGAGACCTGCCCGACCTCGGTATTGGCGAAGCCTCAGCATCGTGTGCGCTGCTGCGTGCGTTGCCCTGCTGCCGTTGGGGTTGGGCGGTTTAGGGTTTTCGGGTCGAGGGCTTGATGTTGTTCGGGCTCTAAGTTTACGACGTCTGGAAGTTGAGAAGTTGGCCAACCCTCAACCCTAAACCCTAGACCCTAAACTTGCGTTCAGAGAGAGCCGTCAGGCCCTTGTTCAGCCGAAAGGTCCTAGTTTGTCACTACGTCAGTACCCCAAGAACCCAAAACATACTTTTTTGTAGGTTATTAACTGTAAATCCCTAAACCCTAAACCCTAAACTCCTTATAGGATACTCAGGTAACCTACAAAATTTTGGGTTTGGGGTTCTTAAGGTATCCAAGAAGGTCCGAGCTACTTGCCGCATCCTGTGAGTGTTGTTGGGTTCGGGGTTTAGGGTTTAGGGTTTAGGGTTTAGGGTTTAGGGTTTAGGGTTTAGGGTTTAGGGTTCAGGGTTTAGGGGTTTGGGCTTAAGCCTTATACCAACAGTCGTCAGGAGGGATTCTCATTGCGGGTACTAGAATTCCTATGAAGGACTGTTAGTGTAAGGGGGAACATCCCAACCTTCTTCTACGAGTTGCCATGCCCCGAAACCTTGTAAACCCTAAACCCTAAAACAAAGGGGTCCTATAATTTTGGAAACACCCGAAGCCCTAAACCCTAAGCCCTAAACCCTCTTCCGTATTTGGGGATAAACGGGGTACCCCTATTTTGGGAAATACCCGCATGGGTTTAGGGTTATACCCCTGAAGCATAAACCCTAAACCCTAGACCCTAAACCCTAAACCCTAAACCCTAAAAAGCATTCAAATGAATCGCAAGGTTATGGGCTTCCTCACTGAGGGCTTCGTTGCCGCCCCTCGTCCTCGGGCGACTCCCAGGAGGGCCACAAGGGCAGCGGCCGAGGAGCCATCTGGGGCTCCGGGGTGTCGGTTTAGGGCTTTTTAGGGCTTTTAGGGCTTTTAGGGCTTTTAGGGCTTTTTAGGGCTTTTAGGGCGTTTAGGGCTTTTAGGGCTTTTAGGGCTTTTAGGGTTTTTTAGGGCTTTTAGGGCTTTTAGGGCTTTTAGGGTTTATAGGGTTCATAGGGTTTTTAGGGTATTTCAGGGTTTTTAGGGCTTATAGGGTTCATAGGGTTTTTAGGGTATTTCAGGGTTTTTAGGGCTTTTAGGGAGATATAGGGTTGAGAGCATTTACTGATCCCTCAATCCTGAGTTAAGGATGGGACCGGCTGCGTTTTCGAGACCCTGATAGAGACACTAAACCATTAGACAAATGGCAGGTTTCGAGGGTTCAAAGGGTTTTGAGTGGATGCAGGCTCGATGCCAAAATGTGGGTTTGACTGCTCAAGGGCCGGAGGCACAGGCGTTTAAGGGTCTGAAGGTTTAGGGTTTAGGGTTTAGGGGGTTGAAGGTTTAGGGTTCAGGGTTTAGGGTTTATAAGGGTTTAGGGGCTCAGTGGCTCAGGTTTTGGAGATTTGCTTTGGGCTTGTGCTTCAAGGCGGCGATGGGAGGTTGAGCCTTGTTGCTTCGGTGCAATGTGCTCATGAGGCGCTTCGAAATTGCACGTCCCTGATCCCCAAAACCAAGCTAGGAACCCACAACCTACTTCTTGCGCCTAAGAAACTTGCAAGGGGTTGAACAACAATAACCTACGAAAACAAGTAGGTTGTTCGGCGTTCTTAAGGAAATACCCTAAACCCTAAAACCCTAAAACCCTAAAACCCTAAAACCCTAAAACCCTAAAACCCTAAAACCCCAAACCCTAAACCCTAAACCCCATTTTCTTGAAAGCAGGAGCCGGTGGAGGCGCCCGCGGCCCCCAAGACGAAGACTCTCGGGGGGCGTTTGCGTTCAGTTCCTTCTGGCCGGGGGTGTGGGCGCACTTTTGGGTGAGGATTTAGGGTTTAGGGTTTAGGGTTTAGGGTTTAGGATTTAGGGATGGTTAGGGTTTAGGGTTTAGGCAGTGCGAAGCCTGTTGCGCAGGGTTTGGGATTTCGGGTTTAGGGATGGTTGGGGTTGAGGGTTTAGGTTTATATGCTTCAGGGGCTCTAGGATGGAAGGATGGAGTGGACCTTGAGCCTGGGGCCTCTGAACCAAACTCCACATGTCAACATCCTTAACACTGTGCCTAGGGATAGGGGTGGCAGACAGTGGCAGACAGAGAGAAAAGAAAAGAAAAAAAAAACTGGGGAGAGGATGAGGGACCGGGAGGTGTAGAGAGAAAGAAGGAAGACGGAGAAGGGAAAACAAGAGAGAAAGAGAGAGAGAGAGGGAGGGAGAGAGAGAGAGAGAGAGCGAGCGAGCGAGCTACAGAGCGAGAGAGAGAGAGAGAGTGAGAGCGAGCGATCTGGGAGGAAGAAGAAGAGACAAGAGAGCGAACCACCTCAATTCCTTCTACCCCCCGAAGCCTAAACCCCAAGTGCAGTGGTGAGGCGCTAAACCCTAAACCCTAAACCCTAAACCCTAAACCCTAAACCCTAAACCCCAAACCCCAAACCCCAAACCCTAAACCCCAGCGTGCTTTACGCAAGACTCGCCAAGGGCAGCCACCCCGGAGGCAGCCCCTCAACCGGGCGCTGTGCGCCCGGGCGCATCGGTCGCAGGCTTTCAGGAGGCGGGCCGCGCAGACATCTGGGCTTTGCCCTAGAGGGAGGGTTTAGGGTTGAGGGTTTAGGGTTAGGGTTTAGGGTTAGGGTTGAGGTTTAGGGTCTAGGGTCTATGGTTAGGGTTTAGGGTTTGGGGAGCCGAAACCCGGAGCTGGAGTTACAAGAGACTTGTAAGGCCCTAAGGCCGATGTTCGGGTAGAATGGCATCATGCTTTAGGGGCTTTGGCGATCAAGTGTGTTGGGAGAAAACTAGTTTTAGGCTAGATCCTCCATCTCCGGGTTTAGGGTTTGGGGGGGGGGGGGGGTGGGGGGGAAGGGGGCTGCGGGAAGGGGGCGGAGGTGGGGGGGGGGTGGGGGGGAAGGGGGTGGGGGGGGGGGGGTGGGGGGGGGGCTTATGTTATCGTAAGGCAAACATTGGGACGTTGCCCTTATACTAACAGTCCTTCCCTAATTATTATTATATTTTATTATTCTTATCCCGACTAAGGACTGTTAGTATACTGTGGAACATCCCAAGGCAAACAGTAGATAAGGGTTTGTGGGCTTAAGGGGGTTGAGGCCGCGACGGGCTTTAGGAGGCTTCAGAGGTTTCAGGCCGAAATGTTCCGTGCTTCTGTGCGTGGTTGGGCTTGCAACCCCAAAGTTTTCTCGATGAAAGACGCCCCGTTCTTCGGATTTGAAGACATGGGTCTGCACTCCATAAAAACCCCCGAAGTCCTACAGCAACTTGCCTAATCCCTCCCCCTAAAAGTAACCCCCCCCCCCTACCCCCTAATATTAAGTACTCCCAATTATAGCTATATTCAAGTTTTTGGGGGTGGTACGTAATATGAGGGAGTAGGGGGTGGGGGTTATATCTCAGGGAGAGGGGCTTTTAAGTGCCTTGCGCCCCTCAGGTTCAGTCCGGCGAGGGTTTCAAGAAGGCCCGGCAGTTTCTAGCTCTGGAGCCTTTGGATGACGAGGTGCGGGCTGCCGAAAATTTGGGACCCCTAACACAGACCCCCCCTAAAAATCTCCCCAAAAACGTAGGATGCCCGTTTCAAGGACCCCAATAAGGCCCCCCCCCACCCCCTAGTTTCGGAAACGCCCTAAACCCTAAACCCTAAACTCAGGGCCTAGGCCGCCCCCCCACGTTGGGGGGCGGCGCTTAAGCCCTTTCACCTCAACACAAGCCGACCCAGGTCGCTCGCCCGCCTCCCACAGCATGGGGGTCGGTAGCGCCCACGATGGGCCCGGTACCGGAACACGTTCTCGTCGGGACCAGTACTGGTCCCTTATCATAAAGTAATTACCCCAAACCTTACCTGGCCTTTTTTTGGGGGGTACCCCCCGAATCCCCTAGGCCAGGAGGACCCGGACCCCTCACCGGCGTGCTCAGAGACCAGGAACCCTCAAAAAGACCCAGGCAGGGCCTGTGCTCAAAAGTGTTTTTGGACCTCACCTCATGGCTGGCCCCTCTGACCCCCTGGCCCCCTTGGACTCCCTGGCCCCCCTGCCCTTTCTTGGCCCTGGTCCTGCGCCTTTTCACCCCCTACCCCGCCCCTTGGCCCTCTGGTCCCGCCCCCGGGACTGGGTGCCTGGCCGAGCCCGCCCCTCTGAAACTTGCTGCAACCCTCCAACTGCCTCAGTTTTTAGAAGTGGGCTGTTGTCTGAGTTTAGGCCTAAACCCTAAAAGGAATAGGTTTGGGTGGCTTTGCCGCCTTGGACGGCGTGGGGTGGGAGAAAAGTGTTAGATGGCCCTCCACAATCGGGCCAATGCTGCTTTTCGCACCTCACGAAGCTTTCGAGCTTGTTCCGAAACCTAACCTTCACAACATCTACGCCCTATCACAGCAAACCCTAAACCCTAAACCCTAAACCCTAAACCCTAAACCCTAAACCCTAAACCCTAAACCCTATACCCGTACCCTACACCCTAAACCCTAAACCCTAAACCCTAAACCCTAAACCCTAAACCCTACATTCCGGGAACCCCCAGGTGAACCAGTGGGAAATTGACATGAAGTCAGGCAGGGGCTTGACCGCCGACGAGGAGAGGAAAAAGTGGGTGGCCATCCTCTCCGGGGCGGTGACCTTCCTTTTGGGTGGTCGCTTGGTAGCCCAGTGGTAGGGTTTAGGGTTTAGGGTTTAGGGTTTGGGGTTTAGGGTTTGGGGTTTGGGGTTTGGGGTTTAGGGTAGTTACATCCCCCTTGGGAATCATTTTTTTTAGCCCAAGGGGACATTTTCAGTATTGTTTTTTATTAAGGTTCTAAGGGGAGTATAGAGCTTGGTAGCCCAGCGGTACCCTTTTGCCCATTGTTTTTGGTTCAAGGTTCCCGTGTAAAGTAGCCAAACCCAAAAAATGTACCCTTGTTCTATGGTTACTGGGGCACCAAGGTAGCTACGTCATGCTGAACGTGGCCATGGATAGCACTGACTGGTCCGGTTTTGCTGGCGAGAAGACTTTGTCAGCGGCAGACCTTGCAGTGCTCGGGAAGTAGACTCATCTTCAAGATGCCCCTTACTGGCTCCTAATAGGGAATTGTGGAATCAGGGTCCCTATCTCATGCCCTCAAAGGTGATACAGAGGGACATTGGTTCCCTAATTCCCCAGGTCCCTAGCAAGGACTACATGGAGGTTCCTGGGCACGCATAACCCCAATTATTAAGTCAACTTGAAGAATCTGCTTCGGGGACTTCGGGGGCGTATAAGTCCTCTTGTAGTTGGGGTTACAAGCCAATGAACCTCCTTAGGAGACTATAAGTACCATTATAATGGGGGTTATTATACGTACCCATGAACCTCCAAGTGGTGCTGAGCTTGGCTGCGCGGCTTGGCAGCGCGATGTACGTGACAGAAGCTGCGACAGGGAAATGACAGTAGGTCGCCTTTGAACCCTTGCATGCCCAGGGAGCACAAGACCCCCTTAAATTGAGGAAAATGCACTTGATAAGCTTTACTTGTTGTGACTGAAATTGGCATGTTCCGAAAATTACGGGGGTATTCTGCTCTTTGCATGCATCCCGTGCCAGTTTTCAGGTGATCTGGGTAGCAGATGCCACTCTCCACGGTTCCGCTAGCTGACAAGGACAGTGACAGGTATACGCCGATGCAGCAAACTGAGAGTTGAGCCTGAGCCGTGCTCTGCGTGGGTCACACGCTTGTCCGCACTCCCGCAAACCGTGAGCCCTATGAACGCTGAACCTCGAGCCCCAAACCCTAAACCCTGAACCCTGACCCAACGCCCCAAGCAGCATTTGTTGCCCGGAACATCAACTTTGGGTAGATCCTTAGCTTCAGGTGTATTTGATTGGGTTTCTTCGTGCGGTCGCTAGAAGTTGTTCGGCCAGGTGCCGAGGTGTCGAAACCCCCAGATCCAAACCGAATTTACAAGCATAGAGATTGTTTGGCCGCCCCAGGGTTAGCATTACCCGCCCCAACCCCCAAAATATGGACCTGGCGTCTGCTCGTCCTCCCTAGCTGTTGTGGGTTGTTGAAGAACCACCTTCGTTCTGGCGATGTTGTTGGCTCTGTTCGGTCTCTCCTTATACACTTTCATCTCTTTCATCTTCACAGGGAATCCCATCCTATTTGGCCCTATTTTGTGTGCTAAACCCTAAACCCTAAACCCTTTAATTGATTGTAGTGCCACAGACTGAAGCTTAAATGCAACAACTGTACTCGAAACCGCACGAAAACCCTAGGCAAAAATGTCTTGATCTAACTGCTCACATCATTGGAAGCACATGCTAGATCGCACAAATGGCCATTTCATATGACCGAGGCTTCCTCAAGAGCCCAAGTCCATTATCTGCAGGTTACCGAAGAGTCCCGTGCTGGTCTAGAGAAATAAGCTACGACACCCCAGATTTTCTTGTAGAATATTTTCCCTTCAGTCTGTTTCCAAAGCCTGGAGTCCTGCATACGAGTTTAGGGTTTCGGGTTTAGCGTTTAGGGTTTAGCGTTCAACGTCTTTTATTCTTAGTGTCATGCATTTCACATGCTCATTTCTGCCGCTTGGAAGGACACTGAGTGCCACTAGTTCAGAAGAACCCCAGCAAGACACCTGACTTCTCGAGGTTCAACCGACGACAGACATGTACCATTCATCTCTCCCAGCCTTCTTCCACAGCTGTGTTCATCCATTGGTCTCTCGGCTCATCCTGGGTGGCTCACTTCAGGTAACTCCTGTTGCACCTCCCATCGTCACGGTCGAGTTTCAGCTCAAGAGCGGCAATGCATCCTGCCGCGCCTCGCAGACCGGCAACCGCAACAACTAACCATCACTAAGAGACCCCTGCGGTATGCGCTGGCAAGGTGGCGCATTATGCGACTGTACTTTGATGTTAGACCTAGTATGATCGCATATTCGCGATCGCGTCGCCAGCAGTGACGCGGTAGCTGATGGGCTTTTATCGTAAGCCCGAGTCTCTTCAACCTGGCGTGGCATTCATTCTGTTGCCCCGGCTGAACTAGCCTGGCTGCAAACCGAACAAACCCTAAACCCAAAAAACCCTAAAAGACCATAACGCCCAAGGCAAAGCAACAGAGCCCACCAAGCCCACCAAACAGGACATCTTCAAACCCTAGAACGTTCCTTCCTGAACGCCCCTTAAGCCCTACAAACCCTTAAACCCTAAACCCTAAAACCCTAACCCTTAAACCCTAAAACTCGAAACCCTAAACCTCCCTGCAGGTGGTCTTTATGGCACCAGCCCAGGCTCAGTCTCCTGGTCGCAGTGGTACCCTTTACCCTTTTTTTGTTCCCTAAACCCTAAACCCTAAACCCTAAACCCTAAACCCTAAACCCTAAACCCTAAACCCTTATCATAATCTGGTTACTGGGCTACCAAGGTCTACCCCAGAGCAGCCGAAACTTGGGTAGCCCAGTGGTACCCTTTGTCCCCTTTTTTTGGGTTCAAAGTTCCCGTAGGGTTTAGGGTTTAGGGTTTAGGGTTTAGGGTTTAGGGTTTAGGGTTAGAGAGTTTTTGCCTTCAAGGTTCCCTTGCAAAGTAACCAACCCCAAAAAACAGGTGCCCTTATTGCAATATTCTCCCTTTTTTTGGTTCAAGGTTCAGGGTTCAGGGTTTAGAGTTTCGGGTTTAGGGTTATAAATTGTAAAGTAACCAACCCAAAAAACAGGTGCCCTTATTATAATCTGGTCACTTGGAGGTTCTTGGTACTTACTAACCAATTATAACTGGGCTTATAACCCTACTTATAAGTGGGATAACCCCTGGAAGGCCCTTTAGGGGTATTATAAGTAGGGTTATAAGTACGGTTATAATAATTGGTTAGTATAAGTACCATGAACCTCCAAGTACGGGGCTACCCAAGGAAAAGCGCCCCGGCAGAACCGGAAGCCGGTGCAACTGGCGCGCTTTGTGCCGTGTGGGGAAAGGAGTTTGGGGGGGGGGGGTTTAGGGTCTAGGGTTCAGGGTTTCGGGTTTAGGGTTTCGGGTCGTCTAGAGTTTAGGGTTTAGGGTTTCGGTTTAGGGTTTAGGGTTCAGGGCGTATGTCTGAATCTAGGCACGCCGAGAGCTCAGCGCCACTCACTTAAGGAATGGACCTTCCATCATCATGGGTTTAGGGTTTAGGGTATAGGGTTTAGGGCTCTCGGGGTCTGTCCTGGGGATTTTTCTGCCGGCGTGTTTCACGAGGCTAGCCTGTGGGTTACCAGAGGGGTTTGGGAGTGGGCAGTGTACGAGAATCCCCTTGAACTGACCCACCAAGGAACTACCTCAGAGCCTTCAGGTAGTAAGGCTATGTAGCTACCCCAAAGACGGAAAGCACGCGGCGACAACGTCCTGAAGCGGGTTTTGGGGTTTGGGGTGTGAGTGGCGTGGCGCTGGGGACCGGGTTGTTGGACAACGAGGCCCGTTGCAAAAAGGGTCTTGGGTCCTAAGTTAGGCTTTACCTTAAGAACCCCAAACCTACTTTTTCGTCAGTTGTGACTTTAAAACCCCTTGATAGGATAATGATTTGGGTTCTTAAGGCAGGGTTTTGGGTTTATTCTGGAAGGATGTGATCAGGATATGCCTGGTTATCCAAAAAAAGGTGAGGGTGCCTTTTATTCCGGCTTTGGTGAGTCTACGTAGGCTTCCTGAGGGATTGGTGGGCGTATCAATAAACAATCATGTATATTATGTATATATATATATGTATGTATACATGTACAAGCACTGGTAGTAAATAACACCCCGATTCATTTCTACCCTTGGTCTGCAAACCCCCCAATAGGCGGGCTCATATTGAGAAATCATCGGCCCTTCGGGGGTCTGGGGTTTAGGCTTGAGGGTTACAGGCTTCAAGCAGGTGTTGCCGGCAACCCCTTCGGTCCGTGCTTAAAAGGGTTATAGGCTTATAGGCGCCCTGTGCAACAAGTTTCCGACTTGCACCTGAGTCTGGCGTCGTCCCGGCCTCGGTTCCACCTTCTTACACCAAGAGAGCACGGCCCTCCCCGAAACTACCTAACCCCCAAATCAACTAGGTGGGACTTTACTTTATCTCTTTATAAGTTAGGTTTCCTCTAATTTCATATCAAGGGAGCTAAAAGTTAAACTTTATTGGAGGTTAAACAGCAACCAAGTTTCGCCCCTCCCCTATGAGGACGGGTTTGCATTGATGGGTCCGCCGCGAGGATTTGTTCCCACACAAGAGTCAAGTTGTCTTCACAGCTACACTAGATTGAGAAATGGTCAAAGCCTCTTTCCTAGTGTAGAAGCATTGTATCGAACAGTCCCCTTTGAATCGTTTAGGGTTTAGGGTTTAGGGTTTAGGGTTAGGACGCCCTTTTCTAAATACGTTTCATGAAGATGCCTCAAACCTGTCAGTGGGGAGTATGATTGCTTCTGGTGTGGGGCTTTGCGGATTCCGTAGCTCGCGCGCAGCAGCACGCCTGCATGGGCGACATCTACGCGCGATCCACCACAAGATATACCACTCTGGAGGCTCTTGCTTTGCATGAGTCTGTAACACCGGACCAATGGTGCGTCACAAGTGCAGACCTGAGGTATTTGCGGAAGGAGGTATGGGGCGCCATCCAGGCTGGCGAGATTCGGCGGCCAGATGACGGCTCTGACGACTTTCAGAGCTCTGACGAGCTGTACGGGCCCAGCATCTACACGGTCAACAAGCAGCACATCATGCCGGTGACAGAGGAAGCAGGCAAGGTGAGCTGGGCTTTGATGCGACACCCGGATGGCTTGGACTGCGACCTGTTCATCAGCCATGCGTGGCAGGAGGGCGTCTTCGAGTTCCTCTCCAAGGTACTGCACTCTTGGCCTGCAGGTGCGCGACACGCCTGGTGCTGCATGCTGGCCAACCCGCAAAACTTGGACATTGGAGCCTTGCTGCAGTCTCCCGGCACCTCGCCTTTCGCGCTGGCCCTGCAGGCTTCGACATACGTCCTTGTGGTGCCCAACCGCCACCGCAGCATCTACACGAGGCCTGGGTTCACAGTTCACAGTCCACCCCCAGGAGGTTGCAAGTGCCTACAAGTAAGTCAGAGCACTTGTGTAGCTCAGCTCAGACGACTGTAGCTAGCCTGTCCCTGCACGAGCAAGGCATCTCACAAAAAGGAGACCCCTTAATACAGCGGTATATATGGAAAGTCTGACCCAGAGAGCCCAACAACCCTTCATGAAGGAATAGATACTAAGGTTATTGGGCTCTTCGGGAATAGGATCCTGACTCAAAAGGAACTGCCAATCAGGTTCCGAGTCCTGTAAGGGTTGTTGATAGGTAACAACCTACAAAAAGTAGCTTTTGGGTTCTTAAGGTTGTTGCCCTCAACTTCATCATCATCATCTTTTGGGTTCTTAAGGTTGTGGTGCGGCTACGAAGCCTACCTTGCCCACGAGGAGGGTAAGACGATCTTCATTGCCCGTGCCTCGAGCCGGAAGCCCATCCTACTTGCCGCAATGTATGCGATCCTGGCAGGAGATCTCAAAACCCAGAGCTCCCCCCCTGGGTTTAGGGTTCAGAGTTTAGGGTTTAGGGTTTAGGGTTTAGAGCAGGTTGTTTCGCATAGTACTGGCTAGACCCTCAGTCCAGTGGCAAATAAGGGTTTGGAGCAGAGTGAAAGGATTTGAGGATGTCGAATCTCGCCGGGGGGGTGGGGGGGTGGGAAGACCGAGGGTGAAGGGGGTTAGAGGATCAAGCAAAGATTCTGCATGTGAGGGAAACCCTGGCGGTTTTGTGTTTAGGCTTTTGGGTTTAGGGACCCTCGGACCAAATGAGCCCGATAATTGGGGTCATATACCCTCTACTGCTACGTATAGTGCCGAGTAACGTCTGTGAAACAGAAGCCCTTTTAGGGTTCACTTGGAGGCTCTTCTGTTTAGTTTTTTTTCGTTTTAAGGGTTGAGGGTTTTTGCATGCCCTACAGTAGCTTAAGAACCCAAAACCTACTTGTTTCTGATTATTCCTGTAAAACCTCTTGTGGGATTCTTAGGTAACCTACAAAAAAAGAAGGTTTTGGGTTCTTAAGGGCAAGTCCTGCAAGCCCCACAAGCCTCATCCTGTGGTGCGAGTGTGAGAGACTCAGGGTTTAGGGTTTAGGGTTTAGGGTTTTCTTTGTGTTTGGATAGGATCTCTGTCGGGCCCTTCTAAGCAAAAGACGAGTTTTCGCAGACTACCTTGAGAACCCAAAACCTACTGTTTTTTAAGTTCTAATTATCGTGCCCCTTATAGGATTCTTAGGGGACCTACAAGAAAGTCGGTTTTGGGTGCTTAAGGTATAGTATGAGTTAGTGGCGAACCTAGCTTAGGGTTTTGGGGTCCCACCGTCCAACCCCGATCCTCAACCCCCAACCCTAAATCCAAAGCCTTCCAACCCCAAATCCTAATGCCCAAACCCTGAACCCTCCTTTCTTCATGTCCTTCGGGCCTGCTTGCAGGATTGCTTGGAGCGGTTCTTGGCGCTTGGCTGAAAGCTCGCGGTGCCAAGTTGCTGCTGTCCGCGGTATGCATCGCAGTTTCGGTTGCGTTCGTCAGCGCCATGTTGAAGCATGATGCGTGTCGTATCTTTGTCATATAATGGGGTAACATCTTACATGTTTTTTAAGCTTACACCAATAATGAATAGTAATTAAAGTTCTTAGTAGTATCCCAGCCATGATCTAGGTATGATCCTAAACTGGGCCGGCGCACTGTGGACTGGCGTTGTGCTGTCCCAGTGGGTCACCATTCGGGATCCGGAGTTTTCTGGCCAGGTTCCCCAAGGGGTGCCCGCCACGGAACAGCGCTTTCTGATCTTGGTCGGTACATGTTTCTTCGTGCTGCAGGAGGTTGACCGCGTCATCGGCAACTGCAGGACAAAGGAGGCCAATCAGCTGAGCTGTGGGTTTGACGGCACCATCGCAGATGCAACGTGTTCAGAAGCAGCCGACAGGTCACGCATATTTCAGGAGATTGGTGACAAGATAGCCGGGGTGGACTATGCCATCCACGTGCTTCTTGCTGCCGGAATGTCGACACCAAACCTTCGGGAAATCGCACGTGCAGGTGTGGACATTCGGGATGCTGGCCATGCAGAGATTGCCGCCCCCATCGTGGCATTTGCACTGACCAGTTCTGTTGTTGTGGCTGACTTGTTTTATGGCCTCTTTTGCCAACACATCTGGTGGCATTTTTCGCTGTTTCAATTCATCTCACTGCTTGCTCGGTTTGCTGTGCTCATAATCCTATGGTACTCTCCCCGGGACGAGAGGTGCTTCATATTGAAGATGACTTCCAAGCTGCTCATCACATATCTTGTTCTCGTCGCCCCCCTCGTGGTTTTTTGGCAACTCAGGGCGGTCGAAACCGGAACGCCAAGGCCCCCCACTCGCTCCTGGTCTGTTGCACCAATGGCGGCCTACACGTCCATCTTTGCATTCTCATGTGCTTGGGAGAGCCGAGTGGTGCCCTTTTGCCCTTCTTTATTCTAGGTTCCCTTATAATACAACTAACCAACCCACAAAAAGGGTACCCTTCGTATAATGTGCTTACGGGCTACCAACTTGCACCTGGGCTGAGTTTACGCTACGCGTGCGTTGGTGCGCGCGTGATCCCGTGCTCGCCCTAAACCCTAAACCCTAAACCCGAAACCCTGTGGCTATAGTTGGGTGGCAAAAGAACCCTAAATCCTAAGCCCCAAAATTCCTGTCAGCTCAGGTCTGGGCATGCGACGGCTGTTGGCCCTTCCCAGTGTAGGGCCTTGCTTACTGCAGCTCCTGTTGGCTCGAGGCCAAGGCGTCTGCCGCTGCACGCCCACGCAGCGCCCGTGCGCGTCTGAGACGGGTACGGAAAGCGAGGGCGACACTGACTGATGAGAAGGCATCAGAGAGCCCCGTCCGACCGAAAGAAGGTCGGAAAGCAGCATAGGGGCGGATTCCTCGTCTCGTTTAGTTAGGTATGCTTAGTGTTGACGTTTCGAATGAGAATGAGAGACAGAGAGAGAGAGAGAGAGAGAGAGAGAGAGAGAGAGAGACAGAGAGAGACAGAGAGAGCGGGAGGGAGCCAGAGAGCGATGTATGCGTAGTGTGTATCAAGGGATTAAGACTCGCACCTCTAAGGTTGGACGCCTCAAGGTTCCTCTTAATTGAGGTACTCCTAATATGGCCCTCATACCACATTAAAGATCTTTAAACAGGTCCCCAAAACCGAAGGGTACAACCTCAAGGGTCCAAGGTATATGTAACTGCTAGAGCTTAGGGTTTAGGCAGCTTGAGGTATGCTTCGGTTATTGCTGACGACACCGCTTTCAGTAGCGGAACGGAGAGATCTGCTTCACAGCGACACTCAGCACCCTATAGAAACTTCATTGCGAGCTCAGCCCGCCCCCAAGACTAAAACCGCCGAAGCACCCACAGCCGCCGATGGACCGCAATTCAGGCCCTGAGATACCTGAATGGGGTTTAAGGGTTTAGGGTTTAGGGTTTAGGGATGCCCTCGCCCAGTACTTTAAACCTTACATCCCCTGAACCCCCGAATTGGTTCAGGGTTTTAGAGTTGAGGCCCTAAACCCCTAAACCCTAAACCCCAAACCCTAAACCCTAAACCCCAAAAAGGGGTACGGCGGCTTCTCTTCAGCTGCGGGTCCTGGGCCCCTATTCACTGTTGTAGCCGCCTAAATGGGGGGATTCCGAGAATAACGGGCCCCTCATATAGACCCCCCAAGTAATAGGATCCCCTTATAAAAAGGTCCCCCAAAAAGTACCCCTAATATCGTAAACCCCCAAATGCAGCTGTACTTACCGTGTTGTTCGAGCACATGGTTCCCACGACGGCCTCGCCGGCAGGGCGGCCCATCAGAACATACACGACATTGGAGGCTTTTGCTTTGCATGAGTCTGTAACACCGGACCGATGGTGCATCAATCGTTCAGACCTGAAGTACCTGTGGAAGGAGGTGAGCAGGGCCATCCAGGCTGGCGAGATACGGCCGCCAGATGACGGCTCTGACGCCTTCCAGAGCTCTGACGAGCTGTACGGGCCCAGCATCTACACGGTGAACACGCAGCACATCATGCCGGTGACAGAGGAAGCAGGCAATGTGAGCTGGGCTTTGATGCGACACCCGGATGGCTTGGACTGCGACCTGTTCATCAGCCATGCGTGGCAGGAGGGCGTCTTCGAGTTCCTCTCCAAGGTGCTACACTCTTGGCCTGCAGGTGCGCGACACGCCTGGTGCTGCGTGCTGGCCAACCCGCAAAACTTGGACATTGGAGCCTTGCTGCAGTCTCCTGGCAGCTCCCCGTTCGCGCTGGCCCTGCAGGCTTCGACATACGTCCTGGTGGTGCCCAACCGCCACCGCAGCATCTACACGAGGCCTGGGTTCACAGTTCACAGTCCACCCCCAGGAGCTTGCAAGTGCCTACAAGTAAGTCAGAGCACGTGTGTAGCTCAGCTCAGACGACTGTAGCTAGCCTGTCCCTGCACGAGCTAGGCATCTCACAAAAAGGACACCCCTTAATACAGAGGTTTAAATGGAAAGTCTGACCCAGAGAGCCCAACAACCCTTCATTAAGGAATAGATACGAAGGTTATTGGGCTCTTCGGGAATAGGATCCTGACTCAAAAGGAACTGCCAATCAGGTTCCGAGATCTGTAAGGGTTTTTTATAGGTAACAACCTACAAAAAGTAGCTTTTGGGTTCTTAAGGTTGTTGCCCTCAACTTCATCATCATCATCTTTTGGGTTCTTAAGGTTGTGGTGCGGCTACGAAGCCTACCGGGCCCACGAGGAGGGTAAGACGATCTTCATTGCCCGTGCCTCGAGCCGGAAGCCCATCCTACTTGCCGCAGTGCATGCGATCCTGGCAGGAGTTCTCAAAACCCAGAGCTCCCCCCCCTGGGTTTAGGGTTCAGAGTTTAGGGTTTAGGGTTGAGGGTTTAGGGTTTAGAGCAGGTTGTTTCGCATAGTACTGGCTAGACCCTCAGTCCAGTGGCAAATAAGGGTTTAGAGCAGAGTGAAAGGATTTGAGGATGTCGAATCTCGCCGGGGGGGGGGGGGGGGGGGGTGGGAAGACCGAGGGTGAAGGGGGTTAGAGGATCAAGCAAAGATTCTGCATTTGAGGGAAACCCTGGCGGTTTTGTGTTTAGGCTTTTGGGTTTAGGGACCCTCGGACCAAATGAGCCCGATAATTGGGGTCATAAACCCTATACTGCTACGTATAGTGCCGAGTAAGGTCTGTGAAACAGAAGCCCTTTTCGGGTTCACTTGGTCTTCAGGGAAGGGGAGGAGGCGCTGTTTTTTTCTCTAAGGGTTGAGGGTTTTTGCATGCCCTACAGAACCCAAAACCTACTTGTTTGTGGTTATTCCTGTAAAACCTCTTGTGGGATTCTTAGGTAACCTACAAAAAAAGAAGGTTTTGGGTTCTTAAGGAAAGTCCTGCAAGCCCCACAAGCCTCATCCTTTGGTGCGAGTGTGAGAGAGTCGAAGCCGAAAGGGTGACGAAACTTGACTCAGGGTTTAGGGTTTAGGGTTTAGGGTTTAGGGTTTAGGGTTTAGGGTTTAGGGTTTAGGGTTTAGGGTTTAGGGTTTAGGTTTAGGGTTTAGGGTTTAGGGTTTTCTTTGTGTTTGGATAGGATCTCTGTCGGGCCCTTCTAAGCAAAAGACGAGTTTTCCCAGACTCTAGGCGTTAGTGGGAACCTAGCTTAGGGTTTTGGGGTCCCGCCGTCCAACCCCAACCCTAAACCCTAAACACAAAACCTTCCAGCCCAAATCCTAAAGCCCAAACCCTGAACCCTCCTTTCTTCATGTCCTTCGGACCTGCTTGCAGGATTGCTTGGAGCGATTCTTGGCGCTTGGCTGAAAGCTCGCGGTGCCAAGTTGCTGCTGTCCGCGGTATGCATCGCAGTTTCGGTTGCTTTCGTCAGCGCCATGTTGAAGCATGATGCATGTCGTATCTTTGTCATAGTGGGGTAGCATTTTACCTGTTTTCTAAGCTTACACCAATAATGAATAGTAATTAAAGCTTTTTATACTATCCCAACCATGATCTAGGTATGATCCTAAACTGGGCCGGGGCGTTGTGGACTGGTGTTGTGCTGTCCCAGTGGGTCACCATTCGGGATCTGGAGTTTTCTGGCCAGGTTCCCCAAGGGGTGCCCTCCATGGAACAGCGCTTTCTGATCTTGGTCGGTACATGTTTCTTCGTGCTGCAGGAGGTTGACCGCGTCATCGGCAACTGCAGGACAAAGGAGGCCAATCAGCTGAGCTGTGGGTTTGAAGGCACCATCGCAGATGCAACGTGTTCAGAAGCAGCCGACAGGTCACGTATATTTCAGGAGATTGGTGACAAGATAGCCGGGGTGGACTATGCCATCCACGTGCTTCTTGCCGCCGGAATGTCGACACCAACCCTTCGGGAAATCGCGCGTGCAGGTGTGGACATTCGGGATGCTGGCCATGCAGAGATTGCCGCCCCCATCGTGGCATTTGCACTGACCAGTTCTGTTGTTGTGGCTGACTTGTTTTATGGTCTCTGTTGCCAGCACATCCTTTGGCATTTTTCGCTGTTTCAATCCATCTCACTGCTTGCTCGGTTTGCTGTGCTCATCATCCTATGGTACTCTCCCCGGGACGAGAGGTGCTTCATATTGAAGATGACATCGAAGCTGCTCATCGCATATCTTGTTCTCGTCGCCCCCCTCGTGGTTTTTTGGCAACTCAGGGCGGTCGAAACCGGGACACCAAGGCCCCTCGCTCGCTCTTGGTCTGTTGCACCAATGGCGGCCTACACGTCCATCTTTGCATTCTCGTGTGCTTGGGAGAGCCGAGTGGTGTTTTTGTTTTTGCCTTTTCTTTGGTTCTAGGCTTCCTCACAAACCAACCCCCCAAACAGGGTACCCTTCTTTTGGTATGGTTACGGGTCTACCAGCGCCTGGGTTGAGTTTACGCTGCGCGTGCATTGGTATGCGCGTGAACCCTAAATCCTGCAGCTAGTCGGGTGGAACGAATACTCAGGTCTGGGCATGCGACGGCTGTTGGCCCTCCCTTGGGGGCCTTGCTTGCTGCAGCTCCTGTTGGCTCGAGGCCAGGGGGTCTGCCGCTGCACGCCCACGGGCGCTGCGTGGGCGTCTGAGAGTGGCACCGAAAGCGAGGGCAACACTGACTAATGAGAAGGCATCAGAGAGTCCAGCTTCTGGATGTCCTGCTCGCATCTGCAGAAGCCCAGTCACTTGACTGGTCACATGGCTTTTTTCCTAGGTAGGATAAGGGAGACCCTTAAAAGGGGACCCTTCTGAACTCTCTTCTGGCTCTCTTAAACGGGGACCTTACTCAGAGGGTCTATATCCCCAAGGGTCCCCCTAATCCTATCCCCTATTTTTACCGGGTATATAGGCCCGTGGGATATGTCGTATTTCCCTTTATTGTGTTAGAGAGGATCATGTTTCAAGAATCTCTTCAGACTGTTAGTTGGAATGTCGGAATGCCCATACGAACAGCCCTTAATAGGGGTGATCATGGTACTATAATCCCTACTCAGGACTGCTAGTAGAAGGAGGCTATAAGGGGCCAACCCTGCAGCAATCGCCCTAAACCCTAAACCCGAAACCCTAAACCCTAAACCCTAAACCCTAAACCCTAAACCAAAGAAGGGGTCCCTTCTAAGGGCCTTATTCCTAGGTTACCCTAAACCCTCACCCTACTCTTGGGTCTTTTATTCCCGGGCTACTCTTGGGTCTATCAGAGGGCCCCAAAAACCTGCGTTTTGGAGTACTTTTCTTTTTAATACTTTTTTTGGTTCTGGGTTCCTATTATAGCGACTTATACCTAAAACGTATATATTTTTTCCACGGTCTACTCCAAAGGTGGGAAACAGACCCGAATTTAGAGAACCTCCCCATATGGCCCTTCTGGGGTCGTTGTTGTGATTCATTTTGTTCCTGGAAAGTAGGGTTTAGGGTTTAGGGGTTTTGGGTTTAGGGTATCCTTTCCTGGCAGTCGTCCGCAGTCCAGTTGCAAAAAGGGTTTAGGGTTTACGGATGTTTTGTGCATAAGGATGTGTTGGGTTTATGCAAGATGTTGGGTTTAGGGTTCAGGGTTTAGGGTTTTGGGTTTAGGGTATGAGCAAGGGGGGCGCAGGGTTTCAGTCCGATCGAAAGAAGATCGGAAAGCAGCATAGGGGCAGATTCCTAGTTTAGGTATGCTTAGTGTTGACGTTTCGAATGCCTGAGAGAGACTTATGCGTAGTGTTTATCAAGGGATGAAGACTCGTACCCCCCCCCCCCCCCCCCCAAAGGTTGTGCGCCTAAGGTTCCCCTTAACATATACTCCTAGCATAGCCCTTATACCACCTTGAGCATCTTTAATAAGGTTCCCCAAAACCCAAGGGTACAACCTTAGGGGTTCAAGGTATAACCCCCAGAGTTGAGGGTTTAGGCGGGTTGAGGCATGCTTGAACTAGTGCTGACAGCTTTGCTGTCAGTAGCAAGTAGCATGCCCAGAACGGAAGAACTGCCTCACAGCGACACTCAGCACCCTACAGAAAACTGATTGCGAGCCGAAGCCTAAAAGCGCCGAAGCACCCACAGCCGCCGATGGACCGCATGTCAGGCCATGAGACACCTGAATGCCCTCGCCCAGAACTTTACACCTTACATCCCCTGAAGCCCCGAATTGAGGCCCTAAACCCAAAACCCTAAACCCCTAAACCCTAAACCCCAAAGGGGTATGGCGGCTTCTCTTCAGCTCGGGCCCTGGGCCCTTATTCACCTTTGTAGCCGCCTAAATGGGGGATTCCGAGAATGAGACCCTAAACCCTAAACCCTAGACCCCTAGTATAGACCCCCCAAGTAGTAGGATCCCCTCATAAAACAGGACCCCAGAAAGGTACCCCCTAATATCGTACACCCCTAAATGCAGCTGTACGTACCGTGTTGTTCGAGCACATGGTTCCCACGACCGCCTCGCTGGCAGAGCGGCCCATGAGAAAATACACGACGCTGGAGGCTTTTGCTTTGCATGAGTCTGTAACACCGGACCGATGGTGCATCAATCGTTCAGACCTGAACTACCTGTGGAAGGAGGTGAGCAGGGCCATCCGGGCTGGCGAGATACGGCCGCCAGATGACGGCTCTGACGACTTTCAGAGCTCTGACGAGCTGTACGGGCCCAGCATCTACACGGTGAACACGCAGCACATCATGCCGGTGACAGAGGAAGCAGGCAATGTGAGCTGGGCTTTGATGCGACACGCGGATGGCTTGGACTGCGACCTGTTCATCAGCCATGCGTGGCAGGAGGGCATCTTCGAATTCCTCTCCAAGGTACTGCACTCCTGGCCCGCAGGTACACGACACGCCTGGTGCTGCATGCTGGCCAACCCGCAAAACTTGGACATTGGAGCCTTGCTGCAGTCTCCCGGCAGCTCCCCGTTCGCGCTGGCCCTGCAGGCTTCGACGTGCGTCCTCGTGGTGCCCAACCGCCACTGCAGCATCTACACCAGGTGCGCGCCAGGGCAGACGACAATCCTCATTTGTTGATCCAACAATTTGAATAATTGGAAGCGGCGCAACCCATGCAAAATGCGGTAGAGAGGGCTGCTAGACTTCACGGAGTGCTTTTTGTTGTGGGAGGCATGTAGTTCCGCGACATTAGGCTCTGGTGCGCGTACGAAGCCTACCGAGCGCATGAGGAGGGCAAGGTTATCTTCATTGCCCGTGGGTCGAACTGGAAGGAAATCGAAGTGGCCGTGACGCGGATGATCCTTTCCGGACCGGCAGGTTAATCCCTAATTGCTTAAGAGCCCCAAAAGACTTAACAAAAGTCTAATCCCTACATTACCCTCATAAGGAAGAGTATGATAGCTTTATTTGTCGGGGTTCAGAAGCAAGCAGTAGTTTACGACCAGCAGCTCAGAGAGACCACTCCATTGCCACCTCATCTGTCATCAATCCCTTAGGGCTCCATGTACCTACGTAGGGAGGGTTTAGGGTTTAGGGTTTAGGGTTGAGGGTTTAAGGTTTAGGGTTTAGGGTTTAGGGGGAGTACTTGGGCCTTAAAGTACCTCCTATATGGGGAATATGGGGCCCAGGTATTCCCTATTTAGGTACGTGGACCCTTAGGGAATGCGATAAAGTGCTCAGGTTTAGATCGAGTCATGTTGCGCTCAAGAAAAGCCCAAGCACTGTTGGGATGTTCCTCTTATACTAACAATCCTTAATGGGGATTAGAGTACACCTATTGCAAAAATCTCTATGAAGGACTGTTAGTAGAAGGGGGAACAGCCCAACTAAACACCCCTACGCCCTACTAAACAGGACTCTTGGGCATGCTCCTGGGCTTCTTAGAAAGCCATCACCATTCTGACACGCATGCTTTCCTTGTGTGTATCCTGGCTGCTGCTGCGTTCGGCAGCGCGAACGTGGAAGCCGACACCTGCCGCAAGGTTCTAAACAACATTGGAGCCTTGACATGTGGCTCCATGCTCTTTCAATGGCGCACACTTCGAGGAGTAAATGCCGTTGCAGGCATCGCTTCCCACAAAGCCCACACACCTTTGTGGCCCTTCATCGAAGAGCGCATTTGCATTCTGATTGGCGCAAGCTTCTTCACGTTGCTGGAGGTTGACCGGGTCAACGCCCAAGCTCGCATGCAGGAGGCACTCCAACTCAGCTGTATGTTTCATGGCATCGCAGATGCAACCTGTTCAAAAGCAGCCGACCGGGAACGGATTGTTGGGGAGATTGGCGACAAGACGGCTGATGTTGACCACGCCATCGACGTGCTCCTTGCCGCGGGCATGTCAACACCAACGCTTCGGGAACTTTCGCGCGCGGGCGTGGACATCCACAATGCTGGGCACGCAGAGGTGGCCGTGCCGTTTGTTGCCATTGTAACGAGTCTGATTACATTTTGTCGACTTGCTACTGACATCCTCTACGAGAGCAATCCTTGGTACATATGGCTCCTAGGTACGCGGACCTTTTTTATGTTTTTTCCTTTATTGGGTAACCCTAAACCCTAAACCCTAAGCCCTAAGCCCTAAGCCCTAAGCCCTAAGCCCTAAGCCCTAAGCCCTAAGCCCTAAGCCCTAAGCCCTAAGCCTTAAACCCAAGCCAACCTTCATATTTTCCCTTTTCAATAGGTTAAGTGGGTCATATTCAGGAACATTCTATCAGAGGGTTTTACGCACCATCGTTTGGGATGTTCCCCCTTTGTACGAGCAGTCCTTAATGGAGATTGTACTGATTTGTGCTGCCTCCTACCATAACCCTAAACCCTAAACCCTAAACCCTAAACCCTAAACCCCAAACCCCAAACCCCAAACCCCAAGCCCCCAACCCCAAACCCCAAACCCTAAACCCTAAACCCTAAACCCTAGCCATCCTAGGTTCTTTCAAAGCACGAGCTTCCTCGCTCGTGCCGCGCTTCTGGCTGTCCTCTGGGTGAGCCCTCGCGATGAGAGATGTTTCATCCTGAAGATGATGACCAAGCTTGTGGTGCTGCTTGGTAGGGTTTAGGGTTTAGGGTTTAGGGTTTAGGGTTTACGGCCAGTGGTGCCCCGTTTTTTCCCCTTTCGGGCTCTGTACGTTACGTGATAAAAGTGCCCCACCCCCCAAGAGGGGTGCTCGTATTCTGATATGGGGCTTTCCGAGATTCGGGGTACCTTAATTGGGGTCCTCATTATACAAGGGAATCCTACTATTTTGGGGGTTCTACTTTTAGGGCCCCCTATTTCGTAAACCCCTAAACCCTAAACCTTAAACCCTAAACCCTAAACCCTAAACCCCTTGTTTCTGGGGCCACCAAGGCTGTATCTGGTTCTTGCCACGCCCGCTGTGGTTGTTTGGGAGCCTTGGCAGCCCAGTGGTACCCTTTACCTTTTTTTGGGGGGGTTTAGGGTTTAGGGTTTAGGGTTTGGGGTTTGGGGTTTGGGGTTTGGGGTTTGGGGTTTATAAAATAACCAACCCCAAAAAGGGTGCCCTTATCATAATATGGTTACTGGTCTACCAAGGAGCTGAGGGCTTCGGACGGAGTCTCGCCGAAGCGGGGCTGGTTCGCCGCGCCTGCGTCCATCTACACGATCATCCTCGGATTTGCTTGCCCCTCTGAAGAACTGAGTAGCTGAGTAAGGTTTAGGGTTTAGGGTTAGGGTTTAGGGTTAGGGTTTGGGGTTTGGGGTTTAGGGTTTAGGGTTAGGGAGGTAACCTTTAACTTCTTTGGGGTATATGTACTCCTACCCGAACTGAAAGGTTAGCCTTTTGTGGCCCTGGGTACTCAGCAAGTAGAATACAGTCTAGCAGCTACCACTTGCGTCTCCCCGTTTCTGTACGCACACGTCGAAGTTCCATGTTCTTCAAGCGGGACCCCGTAGTTCTATAACCCTAAACCCTAAACCCTAAACCCTGTAAGCTTCAAAGAGGGAAACACTTTGCAGGTCCAGGGTACCTGTAACCCCACATATAGCTGACTGTACTTATCAGTCCCCTCAGTCCCTAAGTAGGTTAGAGGTAGATTGATCATTGGGGTTGTAAGTACCCTGAACCTGACCATAAACCCTAAACCCTAACCTTAAACCCTCAACTTGGACATCTAGGGTTGGAATAAGGGGGCCCTTAGTACGGTCCCTTACCCTTGTTCCAAGGGGATTTGCAGGGATCCGAAGTATGGGCCCTTACTATGTGTAGTGTATGTAAGGGTTCTATCACAGGGCACACAAATTGAGGGCCCATACTTCGGACCCTAGATTGGAAGTCCCTAGACCCTAAACCGTACACCCTAAACCCTAAACCCTAAACCCTAAACCCTAAACCCTACACCCTAAACCCTAAACCCTAAACCCCAAAACGCATCAAGCTCTCTCAGCTCGGGGTGCCTAAACCAGGGATCTTCCCCCTTAGAGTCACAGTCCTTTTAGGGAGTATAGTACTTCCCCCCCCCCAACGATAATCCCTATTCAGTATTTTAGGACGGTTAGTATGGGATGCTCCCCCTTATACTGGGGTTCAGAGTGTTTAGGGGGTTTAGGGTTTAGGGTTTAGGGTTTAGGGTTTGTCGAAGGCCTTTCCCAGCTGACTTCAGGAGTCTGGGTTCAAAGAAGGGTTTGGGGTTTAGGGTTTTGGGGGTTTAGGTTGGGATGTTCCCAGTAGTGCCGGGTCAGAGGCTTCGCCGGGCGCCTATGAGGGCAAATCGCACTGCAGTCCCTCCTCAGGTTGGGATGTTCCCCCTTATACGAGCAGTCCTTAATAGGGATTGTAGTACCCCCCCCCCCCCCCCCATAATCCCTACAAAGGACGGTTAGTAGGGAACCTCCCAATCAAACCCTTTACAGGCAGAAAACAGCAAAATAATGGCATGAAGACGGTGTATTTAACATATGGTATATTCAAAACTTGTACGAATATCTGGATATCTTTGGTAAAAAAAAAGCTTGTAAGCAGGCGAGCACTGAGCCCCAGACCCTAAACCTAAACCCTAAAAACCCTAAAAACCCTAAACCCTGTGGACCCTGGACCCAAACCCTACAACCCTAGAAAGCCCATAAACCCTAAACCCATAAACCCCCAAACCCTACAAACCCTATATAAACCCTATCAACCCTTACCCTTTCAACCTCTCAACCCTATAGACCCAAAACCCTAAACCCTCTAAACCCTCTAAACCCCCTAAACCCCCTAAACCCCCTAAACACCTAAACACCTAAACCCGCTAAACACCTACACCCCTACACCCCTAACCCCCTAAACCCCTAAACCCCTACACCCCTAAACCCCTAAACCCTAAACCCTAAACCCTAAACCCTAAACCCTAAACCCTAAACCCTAAACCCTAAACCTGCCCAGGCTTGGGCATGCGCCGGCTCGTGGCGCTTCCCTGCTGTGGGTCGTGCTTGCTGCGGCTCTTCCTTGCGCGGGGCCGTGCCTCTGCGAGTTTAGGGGGCCGAGGGGGGTTTAGGGTTTAGGGTTTAGGGTTTAGGGTTTAGGGTTTAGGGTTTAGGGTTTAGGGTTTAGGGTTTAGGGGTACTTATTACCTCGTGACTAAGGGGCTCTGTCCCTTTGGGGCCCTGGGGCCCCGGAGCTGGGCAGTGAAACAGACGTGCTCTCCAATGACGACTCGGATTCAGAAGCTGGGTAGCCCAGTTTAGGGTTTAGGGTTTAGGGTTTAGGGTTTGGGGTTTAGGGTTTAGGGTTTAGGGTTAGGGTTTCGGGTTTAGGGTTTAGGGTAGCCCAGTGGTGCCCTTTCCCCTTTTTTTTTGGTTCTGGGTTCCCTTATTATAAAGTAACCAACCAACAAAAGGGTGCCCTTATTACAATATGGCTTCTGGGCTACTAAGGAATTCTGCGGCAAAGCCTCTGATATCTCAAGTTCTACGTGCTAGTGCCCTGGTGAGGTCTTCCACGAAGATTTATTTCCACACGGGAGTCGGGAGCGACGCTGCTTACCCTAGGGCTCCGAGTCTACAAATGACATACATTGGGTTCTAAAGTCTGTAAATCAGTACCTACTTTGGCCTATATGGAGCCTTAGGGTTACTCAGGCAGTTGAACCGCACGGGTCCAAAAAAGCGCACTTCTTTTGCTTTTAGGCGCTGGCGGGTAACCTTTAGCCTTTTTGGGTACTATAAATCCCCGCAAAACCCAAAGGTTCACCCGTTTTTCCCCTAATGAACTCAGCACCTAAGCCTTTTGCTTTTCACAGCTATGGTCTTCTTGGAAGGCTTCGAATGAACATGGCCAAGCTGCAGTTGTCTCACGAGGGGCTTAGGGTTTAGGGTCTAGGGTTGAGGGTTTAGGGTTTAGGGTTTAGGGTTTAGGGAAACAACCTTGCACTTTCCCTTAGAGGATCCTTTTCAGGAATATGTTTGAAAGAGCAAAACCCTAAACCCTGAACCCTACACCGCGCAAACAGAGCGGCATTCAATTTTGCACTCAGCGGGTCCCCCCTGAAATGGTTGTGCGTCTGTGACGGTCCTGTCATGGCTCCTGGGCATTAAAGATGTCCTCAACCTGTCCGTCGGGAAGTATGGGTTTTGGGTTTAAGGGGCGGGGCTTTGCGGCGTCCGCGGCCTGCATGCAAATAAGATGCCTGGATGGCTAGACATCCATGCGCGATCCACCACAAGATATACCACCTTTGAGGCACTCGCCTTGCACGAGTCTATATCGCCGGACCGGTGGTGCGTCACGCGTGCAGACCTGAGGCACCTGCGGAAGGAGGTGCGGAGGGCCATCCAGGCTGGCGAGATACGGCCGCCAGATGATGGCTCTCACGAGTTTCAGAGTTCTGACGAGCTGTACGGGCCCAGCATCTACACAGTGAACACGCAGCACATCATGCCGGTGACAGAGCAAGCGGGCAAGGTGAGCTGGGCTTTGATGCGACACCCGGATGGCTTGGACTGCGACCTGTTCATCAGCCATGCGTGGCAGGAGGGCGTCTTCGAGTTCCTCTCCAAGGTGCTACACTCTTGGCCAGCAGGTGCGCGACACGCCTGGTGCTGCATGCTGGCCAACCCGCAAAACTTGGACATTGGAGCCTTGCTGCAGTCTCCCAGCAGCTCGCCATTCGCGCTGGCTCTTCAAGCTTCGTCGTGCGTCCTGGTGGTGCCCAACCGCCACTGCAGCATCTACACGAGGCCATGGGTACTACCCAGAACAGCCAGAATACAGCCTTTCCTGCGTTTCAGGGTTTAGGCCCTAAAACCTAAACCCTAAACCCTAAACCGTAAACCCTAATTGGGCTCAGGGAAAATTGGGCGTTTTCAAATCAACCTCCCGGTTTTGCTCGGCGGAGTTTGCCTCTTGGGCCTAGGGCCAGATTGAAACTCCCTAAACCTTAAACCCTAAACCCTAAACCCTAAACCCTAAACCCGGCAACCCCGAAAAAGTTCTATAAATTCACTAGGACCCAGTGTAGGCCCTTATTCCCGGGTTTATAGGGTTAGGGTCCCCTTGAACCCCAAAAGGGGCACGCTGTTTATTCCCAGGTTACTCTTGAGTCCACTAAAATTACACTGCAAGCTGCAGACAGGCGAAGTTCTGGAATATCAAGTCCCTGCCATACCACAGATGAAGTGAACAGAGTACTCTTCAACATGACGCACGCCCACATTCCAACCTTTTTCCTTCTTCAAAAACCGTGCAGCTCCCAGCAATCCAAGCAGCTGGGAGGCTTTGGTGCAGCTACGAGGCCTACATTGCGCATCAATCGGGAAAGGTGATCCTCGTCGCCACTAGCTCGACCAGGAAGCCAGCCTTTGCCAAGCAGTCGGTGGTGATTCTTCGCCCGAAGTCCTGCCTTAAGAACCCAACACCTACCTTTTTTTGTAGGCTGTTACTATAAAGCCCCTTTATCGGATGCTTAGGTAACCTACACAAAAAGGCTTTGAGTTCTTAAGGTACTATATAAGTCGAAGAAGGGCGCAGCTGCACAGCACCTATGAGCTACCTTGGGTTTACCTACAGCTGAGTAGTAAAGCAGCCCCTATTTAGTAGGTATGACCCTAAAAACTGCAGTTAAATAGGGTTTAGGGTTTAGGGTTTAGGGTTTAGGGTTTAGGGGTTGCCCCTGACCAGGAGGAAGCTTGTCTTTGCCTTGCTCCAGAACATCGCACTAGGCCAGTGGCGGGCTGGGGGCTTGCGGCTTCTTGTCACGGGTGTAGAGAAAGACAAGCTGGGATGACTTCATCAACCCTAACCCGTAAACCCTAAACCCTAAACCCTAAACCGTTGACGACATTAGGGGTACCTTATTGGGTTCCTGATTATAAGGCCCTCCCACTATTTAGGGGTTTACATTGGGTTCCGCTACATCGCAGGAGGATTGGCGTGTTTTCGATTCTTCGTTCGAAAGCATGGTTCGAAAGCTTACTTGCATGTTCACGGGTTGAGGGTTTAGGGTTTAGGGTTTAGGATTCATAGCTGGTCAAAATTAAAACTATATGTAGGGTTATAAGTACCCTAACATTTTTAACCCCACTTATTGCTACCCAAGAACCTCCGAGTAGATATGTGGCACATTCAGATCCTACATCCGACCCTAAACCCTAAACCCTAAACCCTAAACGCTAAACCCTAAACCCTCCATTGGACCCTCAAAACCTTTTGAGTGCAAGAGGCACCAGCCTTTGTGGGCCTCAGGGGCATGTTGTTCTTCTGCTCAACCCGAGCCGCGTTTTTCTGGAAGACTGGCACTGTGGAACTGCGCATGCGTGTGTGTTCTGAAGGGAGCGGGGGTTCCCAAAAGGGCGGTATTCCTTGGTAGGATAAGGGGAACCCTTCAAAGGGAACCCTTCTGAACCCTCTTCTGGCTCTCTTACCCTAAACCCTAAACCCTAAACCCTAAAACCCCAAAACCCAAACCCTAAACCCTGAACCCTGAACCCTAAACCCTAAATCCTAAACCCTAAACCCCAATCCTATCCCCTAGGTATGCAACCCAGGGTTCCCTGGTACTCCCAACTACTTCCTAAGGCTCCCGTAGCATCCCGAAGGTTTCCTAGGTACCTACCCCCAAACCCCCCTCCCTTAAGAACAGCAGAATATGCCTGTGTGTGTGAGCCCCCGTCTATACTGCCTCCTGTTTAGGTTCGCCCCTTAAATTGCCTCAATTCAGCCTTGACTATCCCTAGTTAGCCTTAATTTTGAGGGGAACCTAAACCCTAAACCCTAAAACCTAAACCCTAAACCCTAAACCCTAAACCCTAAACCCTAAACCCTAAACCCTAAACCCTAAACCCTAAACCCTAAACCCTAAACCCTAAACCCTAAACCCTAAACCCTACCCCCTAAACCCTAAACCCCAAGTAATACAGAGGGGCGTTGTAGGGGAACCCATGATGTGTGTGCGTCTGTGTGGAGGACTTCTCGGCACGCTCTTGGCTTACCTTCTGCGATGCCGGAGGCAAGGTGGGGGGTCAGATTTGTGAACCCAACGTGAGGTCTGCGAAGGTTTAGGGTTTAGGGGTTTGGGGTTTAGATTTTCGGGTTTAGGGTTTAGGGTTTAGATTTTCGGTTTTTTTAGGGTATAGCCTTTAAGGTTTAGGGGTACTGGAAGTCCTTGGGTTTGGGTTTAGGGGTAGTGGAAGTCTTTGGGTTTAGGGTTTTGGGGTAGTGGAAGAGTCCCAGCAATGCAACCCTAAACCCTAAACCCTAAACCCTAAACCCTAAGCCGAAGCTTGTCCGAGTCTGGGTGTTGTGGAGCATGGGGAGTGTTCGGTAACTCCTTTTTTTTCGCAGTGACGGACAGCAGCTGATGTGACAATGAGCATAGTACTTTGGCAAGTTCCCCCTTGTACGAACAGTCCTTAGTAGGGATTCTAGTACCCCCTACTATAATCCCTAGTAAGGACTGTTGCATAGGGGGGAACATCCCAAAACAAACTTCATGTGCAGCGCGTTTAAGCATCATGCCATGCTTTGCGTTTGGTTTCTGGGCGGTTGCAGACAGCTTTCACGACATCCCTGCCCTGTCGTGAACTTATAAATAGAAATCAGGGTTTGGGGTTTAGGGTTTAGGGTTCATATGTTCGAAAACAAATGGCCATCCAGAGGCATGCCGACGACAGCTCCCAAGCAGATCACTCGATCAGCGTCGTCGCACTGTGTCTGGTGATCATCAGCCTAACGGCCAGTACAACTCTCCAACACCAGCAGTGCAGAGCGTTCCTGAACCGGATTGGACCATTGACGTCGGGATTTCTGCCCCTTTGCATCATCTGGCCAACTTTTTTCTATAGCCTGCAGATCCACAACCCTAAACCCTCAACACGCCTAAGCCCAAACCTTGGTCTTTTGGGTTTGCGAGAGGAAAGGAGGGGCGCACCCCTATCATTTTCCCTAAGTGCAGCCCCCCCCCCCCCCCCCAGATACAGATAAACACACGGAACCAGATATGCAGTATTATATATATATATATAATATTTAGGTCTTCCTTGTTTATTTACTTATATGCTCACGGCCCTCCCCACGTTTAGGGTTTATAATAGGGTTTAGGGTTTAGGGTAGATAGTGTTAACATCATGAAGTTCGCCCAAGCTCGAGCAGGTTAACTCTGCCCCAAGCACCAGTGGACCAGGTCGCCAAAACTCGTGCAGGCTGGAATATTCAAAAACCCTAATCCCTAAGCCCTAAACCCTAAACCTCCGCCATCTACGAGGCCTGGGGGCCGCAGAGCCATATTTTCTGAGGGTTTTGTTGAAAGTTCGAGCCGGCACGATCTTTCCAAAAAGTTTCAAAGCACAAGGTCGCCACAGGCTCGGACTTCCCAACGAAAAGCCAGAAGTTATGCCATCTACCACGCTGCTGGGGCCGTAGTCCTGGAATTTTATCGTTTTTTTTTGAAAAGTGCACGGTTTAAGTTTCGGATCATGCTTATTGCATAAGCATAAGCATGGTTTTCGTTTTTTTTTTATTCCTTCTGACCCTAGCATCGCAAAAAAAAGAATGTGTGCTCTAGACAAGTAGAGGTGCACAAATGCCGAGCAGAAAAAAGAGGTCATGGGGGGATCATGGGGGTGGGGGGGGGGGGGGGAGAGTGACCATATATTATATATGTAAAATGTATGTATGCATGTATGTATAGATTTCATACGAATGCATATAATTTGTATGGCACGATAGAGTACAGGTCGTCATTGAAGCACCAGTCAGTGCTGCCAGTAAGCCTTAGTTGAAGCCATGGGGAACGCGGTAATGCGCATAGGTAAGGTTACTATAGGCCTGAGTGCCCGTCGGTTGATGTTATAACAAACATATCTTCCTTGCTTCTACCTCTTCACCTAATTCGCAGGGCAAATGTCGATCCAAAATGCTTTTGTGATGGTCATTTGTTATTTGTTGGTGTAGTTTTTCTGCATTTCTCCACGACAAGAAAGGTCAAAACCCAAAGTTGCACCGAGAGGCATAGGCGGGAGGCGCCAAAGTGAAAGAAGCATGAAGAGCAATTCTCGCCTGAGTGCCAGCATGAAGCTGTTGTTTCGAGATGTTTCGGGTGGTGCGGACAAAGAGCCTTCAGGGGGAAGAAACCCGAATGTGTTTACTACAAGGTTCGGAATCTTTACTATATGGTTTTCCCTTATGGTCCCTGTAATTCTACTATAGTCGCCCTCAAACCCCTATTCTAATCATAAAGGTCCTAATCTTTAGGCGCTTCAACTCCTGAACTGAGGATGGTTCATTGGGACAGCGTTCACAGCTTCCCGTGCATGCCAGGAATCCCGCATTGCATGCTTGGTCCGTGCTTCCGTCTCTAGGGTTTAGGGTTTAGGGTTTAGGGTTTCACAAGGAGCTTGGGCCAGGGCTTGGGGTGTCAATCTTCCAGCTGAATGTTGGGGCTCTAACCCACAGGGTCCGAGGGTCCATATACTCATATCGTCACGATGTAGGGTTTAGGGTTTAGGGTTTGGGGTTTAAAGGGGCTCCAAAGTATAGCTTTCGGGCCCACATGTATACTATATAGGTACATGGACCCTTAGGGTAAACCTTCAAAGCCCTTTCCTTCCAGGATTGTCAGACCACACCAGTGTGCTCGAACAGCGAGTGCGTCTTCTCATGTATGCCGGCTTTTTCTATTTGCTGGAGGCTGGGGTCGGGGCTCTCAAACGTTGCAGATGGCTCCTGGGTTTGGGTGTTTCGGGCCTCAAACGCAGGTACCCGTGGCAGCTGTTGTCCGAGACCCCAAACCCTAAACCCTAAACCCTAATTAAACCCAAACCCTAAACCCTATGTGAGAAGGGGGGAAGTCTGTTCATCTCAGGAGGTGAGATGAGCGTGCAGCCCCGTTTGTCCCATCGCTTAGGGTTTATAGGGTTTAGGGTACGTGCCTACAGGGTTGTCTGTCCAAGCGAGACAGCGTGCCCTGCCTGCCTGCGAGCATGAGAGTCGAAGCCCCAAACCCTAAACCCCAACAGGTGGGCACACCCTAAACCCTATACCCTAAACCCTTTGCCCTTGTTTTTCCGGCTTGGGCAGGTCGACCGTGTGAATGGCCAGTCTAAAGGTGAGGCGGCAGTTGCTTGGCTTTCTTCTGGCTGGCTCTTAGGACTACGGGACCTTTTGGGTTTTTTGTAGAAAATACAATACGGAGCCTAAAAAGTTTGAACTTTTAGGAGGGTTAACCCTAAACCCTAAACCCGAAACCCTAACCCTAAACCCTAAACCCTAAACCCTAAACCCCGAACCCTAAACCCTAAACCCTAAACCCTAAACCCTAACCCTAAACCCTAAACCCTAAACCCTAAACCCTATACCCTAAACCCTATACCCTAAACCCTAAACCCTAAACCCTAAGCCTTAAGCCCTAAACCCTAAACCCTAACAAACCCTAGCAGCCAAGGTGCAACTGCAGCGTGGCTTTCAGGGATCGATCAAACATGCAGCATGCTCGAAGCCTGGCGATGCGGCACGGATGCTTGGTAGCCCAGTGGTAGTTTAGGGTTTAGGGTTTAGAGTTTAGGGTTTAGGGTTTAGGGTTAGGGTTTCGGGTTTAGGGTTTAGGGTAGCCCATTGGTACCCTTCTCCCTTTTTTGGTTACTCTTCCCTTATAAAGTAACCAACCCAAAAAGGGTGCCCTTGTCATCATCTGGTTACTGGGCTACCCAGGATTCATTCCGAGATCGGCGCTCAAACCGAGGCAGTAGACTATGCCATCCAGGCCCCCCCCTGTTGTGTTCTAAGTAGGTGATGGGGGAATTCGGGCCCTATATGATACCCTTAAAGGGATTATGTAGGGTGCCTCATTCCCCCTAAACCCTAAACCCTAAACCCTCAACCCTAAACCCTAAACCCTAAACCCTAAACCCTAAACCCTAAACCAGCCGGCAGGTGCTGCTGACGGCCGGGATGTCAACACCCACGCTGAGAATCGTCGCGCGCGCGGGGGTGGGGATCCAGGATGCAGGCCATGCTGAGGCTTGGAGTATTAGTTTAGGGTTAGGGGTTAGGGTTTAGGGTTTAGGGTTAAGGGTTTAGGGTTTCGGGTTTCGGGTTTCGGGTTTAGGGGAGCCCAGTGGTACCCTTTGCCCCTTTTTTTCTGGTTCCCTTCCAAAGTATTTAACCACCAAAACAAGGGTACTCTGATCACAATATGCGGGATTAAGATATTCGGGATACCTTGTT